GGAAAATACAACAACGTTCAATGATAACAATTTCTTATTAAAAGATGATAGCAGTCGTACTTTTTATTCACATGATCCAAATGACAATGCACGCATATAAAATAAATTTAAACGCTCACGTACCTATATACGAACCCTGCTGCGGTAAGCAGTCGCGATTTTACGAGATAGTAGATACTTAAAATATATGTTTATTTTATTTATAAAATATTATAAAATCAGTTACAATACAAAAGATACAATAGTATTTAATATTAAGGCAGTTAATTTATACAGGATAAATCAGTGAAACCAGTTATTTGAAGAAATGCCATAAAATCATAAGATATTTTTTTATATATATAGACGTAACTTAACATCGAAGCATTTGGTTTCAATATTTACACTTTTAAATGTACGTCTTACTTTTAAAACACAACATCTTTAAAATGACCACAATCTCAATAAGAGACCTGACTTGTTATGGAATGATTTAAAAAGTTTCGGTTTTTACTGCATTCAACACTATCAAACGATTCAGCAGCTTAAACTAGTATCTATTGTAAGAAGAGATTGCACAAATTTCCATAGATGGAAATGTGAAATGTTGTAACGACTGATTGTGAGTCATCCGGAAGTGTACCGATTGCATTCAGCGAAATAATCGTCATCTGGAAAACCCAAGATTGCGCAGGTAATCCGAAAAGAATTTTTTTTTCTATTCCTAAATTGTAAAATGAGATGTTTTTCATCCACATGTCCTAAAAATATTCTTGAAATTTCAAAATAAAAAATGATGTCACCAATTCTAACAATGAGCTCTTTTTTAAGATGCTAAAGTTCTTTGATTAGTTATTTACATTCATTTGTATACGATTACCTGAGCTATTTGTTGCATTCCGGAATTAAGACCAACTATAAGATTTGAACGTGTGAATAATGTGAACCAAATGCTTTAATATAAACTTAATATCCATATAGAGAGAAATTACATAAATAAAGGCCTTATAATTTGATGGCACTATTAAAAATCGTCTGATTCACTGTTTTACCTTGTATAGAAAACATATTTTGCAAAACACGTTTAAATTACTCTTATCTTTATTACCTATATTATATTAACGACCGGCTTTGTTATCTATTATATTAATGGACGGCTTTGTTATCTACTATATTAACGGACGGCTTTGCGATATGTAAAAATTATTCTGTGCGCGCGCGCGCAGAAATGCGTGTAAAACAAAATATTAAACTTGGACGTATAAAAAATGGAGTAAGAAATTTAGTCATTTGAAGATATAAATGTATCTCCAGCACAATATTAACTTGATGATAACTTTAAAGTGAATTATTTGAAAGATGGTACGTAGACGAATAAAGATTCTGACACTAAAGTATAGTAAAAACCATAGATATAAGTGAATAACCTCTCAAAATTAAAAATACAAGAGGCTACGAGAGTGAAACGCGGTTATTAATATCAAGAAAGAGAAGTTGAATACTCAGATTTTCCTCTCGAAATCCATCTTTCATAAGATTCTTCTGTGAAACGCGATATAAGCGACAGCCTCAAGATATAAAATATTGTATAGCAATTTGCAAAGTTATGAGCAACGTTGAAACGGTCATAATCTCTGCGCTGTTACATCTATGATCAAAGTAACAAAAGCACCAAGTGACTTGGTCGTAATAATCACGGTGAATATCCAACTGATGAATACTGTTATTGACGTAATGGCCTAATCGTACATCTTTAGCAGCAGGTCTGCAGCCTTCGTAATGATCCGCAGGAATGTCCGTTCTAAAGCTACGTACGGAGCTGAGGCATTCGCGAGTAATGATTGTTTCCGCTAAAAAGAGATGCCGAATTACATAGACGTGTACATTGTCCGAAAGTGCGAAATGTAAATAACCTCACCTCCTTTCCGTTCGATTATCTTTACACACTTGTCGTCATATTCTGGGCAAGTCTCTCCCCAGTACCATAACCAATTCAAGGGCGTTCCACATCCAGGTTGATTACTGTTACATCGGTAACAGTACAAGCTGTCACCTGCAATATAACGTAAGGACAATCTGAAATGACTCAAAGCCACGCCCTTTTGTATCGCGCGCAAACTACTATACCCTGATTTGCCAAAACGGTTAAGAGAAAGAGTGTGAAAAAGATTTGTCTCATCTTGTCGATGCACTAATAAAACTTTTATTTCACGTTTTATACAATCCTGTTTATAGCAAGGCGAGAGGAAGCACGCCACTCTCCAACATCGCAGTCGACTCACGACTGTCGAGTGCGTACTCCGATGTAAACGTTCGGTGCACTATCGGTGCAACGATTCAACACTTGCAAAAAGTAAGAGCCAATCGTGCTCGATTACCACTTGACCGCAGTGTAAACGGTACTGTATAATTGGTCCATACTTTTAGATCTTCTCGGCAACTCGCTCATTTGTGCTGTTACACTTTCTGCACTCACGGCACTCAGAGGCTCAGATACGTACGTGTATGTATGTGGGGGAATAATGGGTAGGGGTAGGAGAGGATACGCGTGCCGTCAAGCGCAGGGCGTAATATTTTAGATAGCAGTGTTTTATTTTCTTTCGATTAATATACATATACGCACACGTATGTTTGTGTCATGAATTCAACATGTTCCTCGGAACTTTGGAACTGCCCGATGTGTCGTTTTCTGTTTCACTCAGCTTTTTCTTCATTATTTTCCCAAGTATGTTCTCTCGCGAATAGAAAACGTCTATCATTAATATTTGCCTGTAATTCTCTGCTTGAAATTCTAGCAAATACTTTAATCGATTGCACTGACGTATACTTGTGTTTTAATATCTCGACTGTATTGGAAGGTAGAGAAATAGAGGTTAGAAATGACTTGGCTCTGAAATTTCAACGAGCGTTTAAATAAATTAGTTGAGGGAAAAAATTTATACGATTAATTAATTAATAAAAAAAGGGAAAACAGTTGGAACAAAGTTGAACAAGATTGTATCTCTGCAAAATGTATGAGAAGAAAAGTAAATAGAGAAATAATTGAACGAACGAGCGAGTGGATAGTTATATTCTCTCCTTTCCCTTAAACGAAATGTATTGATTAACGTGATGAATTTGTCCTAGTGAGCCGCTGTGCAATGCCGCAAGCGAATCAGGAAGATTTGCTTCGCTCGTTCAAGAGCTATTCCGACGTGACAATGTTCCATTACACGGTACCGAAAGAGGTACTCCGAGCTACATGGCAATTTGCCGCTTTTATGGATAATCCCACGTGCCATCCACGGACAGTTTATATGCAAGTGATATGACTGTTGTCCGAAAAACTTAATCTAATTCATTAATCGCGTTACAATTTTCAGACACGTAAGGTTTGGCAGTTATCCAGTAATCACCACGAATAATGGAGTACATCTAACAAACGAGTCGTATACTAAACGAGATGACGATATCGTAGTCACCACTACCACGACTTATCAGCCGAAAAATGTAACTGTTGTTCCAGTCTACGAACCGCAACCCGGAGATTGGTTTGTAGCCGCTTACATGTCTTATTCGGACGAGAAAGTTCAACAACAGGTACGTCAAGTTTCTGTGTCGCGTCAACATGAGAAACACATACAATCTACTTTCTTCTTGCAACTTGTATCTCAGGGACTCGGACACAAATGTCAATACAGCATAGGTACGATAGCGCTGTGGTCGCAAATAGACAATATTGAAAGTATTCCTATTAATTATCAAACGAGATTACGAACAACCGCGACGACAACATACTACAAGTAAGTTAAATTGAAATTATCACCTCTATTATTTATTTTGTTTAATGTGTAAAATTACGTCAGCTGTTTTCTTTTTTTCATTTATAGGCTATACATTTCGTCAGGAATATTAAACTTCCGTTTATCAGTCTGGAACTGCACTTTTACGTTGCAGAGCTTTCGTAATATTCATAAACCTTGTATCGAGGCTATATATTTGAAGGGACGTGTTTTGCCAACGTCCAACTATCTTTATCCCACGGAATCTAAAAATCTTGCGATAGATGCCAATTACTCTTTCACAGAATCTTCTCCTTATGAAGACAGCTATTATTACTTGTTGATCGTTTCGAGTAGCATTATAGAGTTCAACGTCAAAGTCGAAACAACAGGTAATATTAAAATAAATTTGATTATCTTGCTATATTAGAATGCAAAATGCATTTTATTGTAATATCTAGTAAACTCTTTTCATAACTTGCATACTGTCGGAAACAAGTTGTACGCGCGCGCTTGTGTAAAAAATAAAAGAAATGAATAAATAATTATTTCAGAGTGTCCAATTAGATTGACAGAGAAATGGTTTACTACAGAATACATGGATATCGCTTCAAGTTTTAATTCAATAACAGGAACAAATACTTACAAAGAATTAATAAAACACAAGTGGTATTATGGAGAAAACAACGTTGGCAGATTTTACCAAAAGAAAGAGGACAGCGAGAAGCATGAGACTGATAATCAATGTATACCAAGGTATCAATTGGTTCGCGTTAAACATGCGAACACGTTCTCGACTGTTTATCTTCTGCAGGTGACATTATCTAGTCTATTAATGGATATGCTACGCATCTTTCTATGCACGCGTATAAAATAACGATTTTTTTTTTAGGGAAAGGAGTGGTTAAGTTCGAGGCTAATACTAACTGATTTAGTTCCAATGATGACACAGTTTGATATTTTACCATTGATTGATATCGGTGGTACACTTGATATCAATGTAAATCTTGAAGTAAGAAAGGTGAGAGTTAAAAAATATTACATCTCTTTGAATTCTTCGTTAGCTTTTTATTTCATGTTATCTGTCACTATTTCCATCAGTCTTGTACATGTGCATTATTCCATCAATTATTTTATTCTTGGCATATATGATATATTTCTGTAGGTACAAGACCAACAAGTTGCTCTAGTTTCCGTCTATTCTCTTTAACTCAACGGGACCGAGTGTTTTTGCTTGTCCCTTCACCCTTGTTCTAATAGCACCCAATGAAGATGTTACACGCGCACGCAATCATTTTAGAATGAAAAACAACGCGCGATAAACGGAAGATACTATACGCGTCCGTAACTTTACGTATGGTCAACTGGCAAATGCAAACGGTGAGAGAGCGTTGGAAAGAAATAGTAGAAAGTAAACAAGTGTAAAAGAAATGTGTAGAAAACGTATAAAGTTTTTGAAATGGAAGAATTTGAGTGCGATGGTAGAGCAATGAGCGAGGTAGCTAGTTGAAAATGACGTAGTGTAGGACGAGAGTAAAGGAAGAGTCCAATTGTTGGATATACTATATTTTTGTAATTCTTTTAGCTGCCGTCGATACAATCGGTCTTGGTAACAATGTGCATTCAACGCGATCGTATACCGAAATTGAAAGGCCGTCATTCTTGTGAAAATGGAACTTTGGCGATAAACTTGTCTCGGTTGAACAAGCGCAACGCAAGTTTATTAATAGCATATCCACAACCAGGCACATGGTACACTATTATTCTTGCGACATGTTATAATTATCGGTAAGTTTCTAACTGAAAAATGTCATGTGATAGATGCAAAGATTGGAAACGTCACATTTCTTGTTTACACATAAATACACATAAAAATGACGAAAGAATCGTCCTGTCGAGAGATAAAAGTTTGATTTGGTACACACAGCGTTACAACGTGATATTTTGTGCCCGTGTATACAGTACGCCTGTACCCTGCGAAAAGGATCAAGTGTCAATACGACTGAATATACGCACGAAAAAGTGTATGTTTTCTGACCAAAGTCCTTGCGGTAGTCACGGCGTTTGTCAAGAAATTCAAAGGAACATGCTTCATTATGCGACGTGCAATTGTTTTAATGGTAATTTACTACTAAATTATAATGAATTTGAATTATACTTTGAATGAGACGAAGCATCCCACATATTTCAATTTTCAGTTAATATTTCAATTACTCAATCAGGTTACACAGGATGGGACTGCACCGGCATCTCAAATACCATACCTGCAAATTCCCTGATGAGCGCTCTGCTACTCGTTATGAGCAATGTCTTTTTCGTACCAGCCATATATATAGCCGTAAAGCGAAAGCTGTACGCAGAAGGGCTGGTGTACTTGGTTACAATGCTGTTCTCATCTTTATATCACGCCTGTGATCAAAGTGGCGGACAATTTTGCATTACCAAGTATGAGGTATGTCCTGAAATGTTGATTTATTTTTCAACATTTCGCTACCGATGATATAATACATTTCTTTGCTACAGATTTTACAATACAGCGACTTCTTTTCGAGTATCTTGGCATTTTGGGTAACGCTGGTAGCAATGGCGGAATTACCGATCGCTTTTCTACCATTGTGCCATATGACGGGAGTGTATGTCATCAGTTTGGCAGTGCAAATTGACAGGATGTGTTTAATCAGTATATCGATTCCGCTATCATTGGGAATCGTCATACCGGTAAATCTCTCGAAATTAAATCTACGATAAATATTATATATGTAGAGAAACAGCTGTAAAATATCTTGCAGATTTTCACACATACCTACCGCATGATTCAATCGAGAAAATGCAAGAAACCAAGTCGAAGGCTGCTATTAGGCTTGCTCTTTGCTATTACAGGTTTATTACTCTATTCTTTCATCGAGACGGAGAAAAACTATCAAGTACGTACATATCTTGGCAAAGTTTCGTTCGCCATAGCAGATTTCATGATTAAATCACAAGTAACGTGTCATTTACTTGGTTGCAGTACGTTCACAGCGTTTGGCATATCATCATGGCGATATCATTAATATTTCTGTTGCCACCGGCGAGATCGAAAGAAACTACGTCATCGACAAATGCTTCGTTCAATGATGACGGCGAAACATGGAGTTGCAAAGAGTCTTATGGGATTCCAACATTTACAATAATCGAGCCGGAAAATCAAGCGCTCGCCTCAAGTTGAATGTCTACGAAAGAATTTTGAATTCTAACAACCGTTTAGAGAAATGTATTTTAAATAAACCTTTTCAACCTTTGTAGCATAACCATGGTTACCTTAACGAATTGTAATATTGTAAGGAAAAAAGGAAGGAATCGTTACTTGGTAAAAAGTAACTTTCCTATCCTTGAGCATAACGCTCGTATTCAGCAGACATTTGATACGCTGGCAGAAAGATGGGAAAAGGTAGTGGTTAATACAATTCGTCAGGCACGTAGACTTATTATCACTTCGGTGTCGACTGTCTCTCCCCTTTTTCTCTTGGAAAAGGATCGCAGGCAGCACGAGAGTGATAATAGATTCTCATAGTAATGTCGCATGCTTCTGCAAGGGGTCTCTATAGTCGCATCCCTCTCTTTCGACCCCCAACCAACCCAATAAGCACCACGTTCGAGTCGAGCGGTTCGAGGGATGATATGATGACGACGCATTTACCTTTTGACAGCCGTCGCGAAGGCTCGACCGAACGTAATCTGTGACTTGTGCATCTCTTTTCCGCTCGCGCTGACTTTTCTCTCTCACACACCCTCGACTTGCTCCGGTTTGCGACTTTCCGACAATCCGACAATCCGACTTGCGCGCGCGCGCGAATATCGATTGATTGGTAAATTCCGGTAAGTTTCCATTTTCCGATACGAACGCATGTATGACGTAGCTGTCTCTCTCTCTCTCTCTCTTTTCAAAAAGCCCATTTTTCCACTTTTCCCCATTGTGTCTGACAACGTCATCTTTCGAGAAAAAGTTGAGAAATTTGAATTTAACCGTTAGTTTACACAAGTTGAAGCAATCTTCCTCGCGGGAGAAGGAGAGATTTAACACTTGGGATGGCAAACTTGAAGGTGCGTGTCAACTCACCAAGGGTGCGCTACTCGGAGGATATGATTGAGGCGGAATACGAGTATCGGACCACCAACGTGGCTAACGATGGCGATACCTACACGGTGAGAATGCCTTGATCATGTGTGTGTGTCACCAATACTCGCGCCGCTCTCAGCGGCTAGCTAGGTCGATATCGCGTTCGAGCTATGTACATACATATTGTACTCGTAATAAGAATTAATGTCGAGGAGGTAAACACGTTTTCAACTTACTTTAATAGCTTTCCTCTAAGGGATTTAACTGATATCACCGAGATGTATTTGAAATGTATCAGGCATTGTTGAAGACCTCGACCCTTGCAAACACACTCACGCGCGCCTGTGTATACTAATCGACATTGATCATCCATAGTAAACTGAATCGTTCAAGATACTAAATTTTACTAAATTCATTCTCCAAAATTTGTCTACAACATTGAATAATCCATAAAAAATGGATGATTCTTCACAGGTGACACCTATATCAACAAAATTGCTCATCAGGACCATGGTAAAAGTACCGAAGCTGGGCCTGATGTTAGTCGGCTGGGGTGGAAACAACGGTAGCACCGTAACTGCCGCTTTACTGGCGAATAAGCTAAAGTTATCGTGGGAGACAAAGGAAGGTCTGAAAACAGCCAACTGGTATGTTTCCTACAAGTTTAATATAATGAAAATATCTCGAGTCCGTATGCAATTTCATCGTGTGCATTTCAGGTACGGTTCTCTGACGCAAGCATCCACCGTGAAATTGGGCAGAAAAGTCAAAGGGGGAAACGTTCATGTACCTATTTCCAGTATGCTGCCTATGGCCAATCCAGATGACATCGAGATCGACGGCTGGGATATATCGGGTGTAAACCTCGCGGAAGCCATGTCGCGTGCCAAAGTGCTGGATGTAAACCTGCAAGTACAATTGCGATCCTACATGGCACACATGCGGCCCAGGAGGAGCATATACTATTCCGATTTCATCGCTTCGAATCAGGTAATTTTAATATTCAATGTTGCCTGTGTGATATATTCTATGTAACATTCACCTGCGCGAAATTCATCTTTAACATAATGGATGATAAAATCCAAGTAACATCCTTCAGTTTTCTTACATACAATATCAACTTTCGTCTATCTCCCGTTGGAAATTCTACAATTTTATTATTTGTAATTATTTTTCAAATTTTTTATCAAGAGAATTTGTCAGAATTTAACCAGAAAGGATCCTTATCCTAACGTAACTGTGTGTGCGTGTGTGTGCGTTTGTGGCGAGGGGGGACTAATAGACGAAAACGTGTGTATGTAAAACTATTGAAAAAGTCCATTGCATACATATAGACATCATAATGGAATTAATTACATATAATATAATTGTGGATATTTTTTGTAAAGAAGAAAATAGACGAAAAATTATTATATGCAAGGAAATTAAAGGTAAAATTACATCGAAATCTAGATTATATAATACTAGATTTTATTATGTTACTTATAGTTACATACAAGTTAAGAAGCTCAATTATATTGTTAGCTTTTCAAGACGGAAAACCGTTATATGGTACCACGTAAGAAAATTGAAGGTGACAACATGTTCAACTATGAAAGAGGTATCAATAATTTTCAATGTCTTCAATATTCTATTACCGTAATATAAGGAACAAGAAATTATAGACGTGTTTTCATATATACATGACCGCTTGTGCATGCATGTATATGAAATTATGTATACTTACACTTGCCTATAGAATTTTTTGTTTTTATTAAATATTGATAAATAGTTAAATAGTTGTTTCTCTATAATATAATTAAACTTTTGCGCGTGTATGTGTATGTAACATGTCGGAGCACATCCATTATATTTTTATTATTACTTGCTTCTTATCGATTAAACAATCAATTATGTCTCTCGTTGTATACAACAATAAATATTTGCGAAATTTGTTTACAAAGGGCAAAAGGGCAAATAACATCATTACGGGTACCAAGGCCGAGCAACTCAGCTTGATTCGCAATGATATTGTACAGTTCAAGACTGCAAAGGGTCTCGACAAAGTCATTGTCCTATGGACCGCAAATACCGAAAGATTCTCGGACATCGTAACAGGCGTCAACGATACAGCCGACAATTTGTTGAAGGCAATCGAAGAAGATCACTCAGAGATCAGTCCCAGCACCATGTTTGCTGTGGCAGCGGCTCTAGAAGGAGTACGATTGAAATATCATTCTCTTTTTTTATAATGATTTTTTGTAATATAATCCAATTTTTTATATTTTCTCAAAACTTTACATATCAAAGTGAGACAGATGAGTTTGATAAACCGATGCAGTAACAATGGTGTTTAATAATAATAATTAATAGAGGAATCATTATTATTCAAGAGGAAAGGAATTTTTTATTCATCATTCTTTGCTACAAAATACTAATTATATCTTCCCCAATTTTCGTCATGTTTGTATAAACTTTGTCAACTAGCAACTAAAAATTGTTATGGGCAAAGAGTGTCTTCTCTTTGTTTAATAAATTTAAACATTTTTTTTCCCAGTGTACTTACATCAATGGATCGCCGCAAAATACTTTTGTGCCGGGTGCCCTTCAACTAGCCAAGAGGCACAAGACATTCATCGGCGGCGACGATTTCAAGTCCGGTCAAACAAAGCTCAAGTCTGTGCTTGTGGATTTCTTGGTATCGACCGGTATAAAGCCAATGTCGATCGTCAGCTACAACCATTTAGGAAATAACGATGGATACAATTTATCTGCACCGCAACAATTTCGTTCGAAAGAGGTAAGAGAGACAATATAATTTTAATATATCGACAGTTAACTGAATCTCTTTTAGTTGTTATACATACAACTAATTGTAAGATATTAAATGTATATTCATATGTGTGTCATCAATCCAATCTCGTACATAGATCTCCAAGAGTAACGTTGTAGACGATATAGTGGAATCCAACAAGATTCTCTACAAGCCCGGAGAGAAACCGGATCACTGTGTCGTTATAAAATATGTTCCTTACGTTGGTAAGCTCGTTTGCATTACAATGTCACAACCCTGGCGGACAAAATAAAATAGAAATTTGTAAAACATCTTCCTTAAAACATCAATTTTTTTGTAAAAATATCTACGAAATAGTACCACGAATGACAATGTTTTTACATCTTTCCAGGTGATAGCAAGAGAGCGATGGATGAGTACACTTCCGAAATAATGCTAGGCGGTCACAACACCATCGTGATCCATAATACATGTGAGGATTCGCTTCTCGCGACTCCCATTATTCTCGATCTTGTCATTTTAGCCGAACTCTGCTCTCGCATCACCTTCAAGAGAGCGGACGATGACGAAGAATTTTCCGGCTTCCACAGTGTACTTTCTATCTTGTCGTATCTCTGCAAAGCTCCACTGGTGCCCCATGGGACTCCGGTGGTGAATGCCTTGTTCCGTCAACGGGCTGCCATCGAAAACATTCTACGAGCTTGTTTGTCATTGCCACCGGAGGACAACATGTTGCTCGAACACAAACTCACCTTTAACATTTAAAAAGAGAGAGAGATGCAATTGAGAATAAGGGTTATAGAGTGAATAAGAGGTGAGCGCGCGGAGAGGAGGGTGGAGTAGGGAAAGGAGAAAAAGAGAAGGAAGAAACTTAAGATAAAGTGGAAACTTGGCTCGATTGCTATCAAAGAAGTATAGTGTTTTATATACGATAAGAGATACACACACACACACACACACACACACACAACGGAATTTTTTAATATTATCATATAGCTGGCTATAAACAATTGAATTTTGATATGAAAATGTGAATTGTTCAACGTTATAACAAACATAAATTTTCCCCACAAGTTGGAGCATTTTCAGTTGTATTAATCAATTATGGAGGTTTTGGATGAATTAATTAATATAATTATACGACGATTGTGTGTGCGCGTGCGTGTATGAAATGATGAGTTGCGATATATATAAATGAATATAATTGCAGGTAGATAACCAATGAAACCTTACCAAGTACACATTTCGTTATAGATTTCAAGTACCGTGAGAATTGCATCTCATCGAAAATAGATTCATATGCATTGAAAAAGTATATGTATTATGTTCCACTGAAATACTAGCAATTCTACAAATAGTATAAAACCTGTTAATTGATATATCGATATTGTTTTAGCTCGTCTCACGAAAGTTTTCAATTAAAAAAGAAATGCTGAGAAAGGCTCCATTTTTATTACACAGACATTCCTGAAACATTTGAAAAATATATCCATATAATTTCTTTGTATTGTCATTTGTCGCATGTCGAAAAATGAATTTGCAGTATCACGCTAAGATTCCAATGTGGCACGTTGCAAAGTTTGTTTTTGAAATTATTTAATGCAGCTGCGACGTTGTAGAGATAGTACATATAATACCGTAAATCGATAAATTTCCCGATGTAGGTATAAAATAGAGAGTGGCCGAGCGCGTCACGAACTCACGACGGCGCTCTCGCCGCCACACGAATAGCGCGATACTCGACGATACTCTCGCGGTTTGGTAAACCGCGACCAATGTCCGGAGTGCCAACATGGAGTGTTGCGGAGCGTGATCCGTTGTCACCTTGCTCGCCTTCGAGCACGTTTAACACAATTGCCACGTATATGCTCGTAGAGTCTCGTCGGCTACGACAGCCATCAGTAGCTCACAGTAGCTACGATCATGTCGTCGAGCAACGCCGAGGAGAGTGTCGCGCCGCCACCTAATAAAAAAATGATGGTACGTGTATCGCTTCCTCAAGTGATTTAAATCAACGAAACAATATGACTTTTACTTCCATGCGCGAATTATGATATCGAATTTTGTATGCAGGATGACTCGTTGGATCCGATTGACAAGAGAGAGATTTATTACGAAGAAATGTAGTTTAGTCTAAAACATGGAGTGTAAAGTTTCACTTTCAAAGACTCGAAATTGTTATCATCAGCGTCGTCACTGTCTGAATAGTCTTGTTGGAAATTGGCATAGAAACGAGTAGATACGACGAGATAAATATTCATATTAGCCGCTATTAGGTTTTTATCGCTCCTTATATACCGAAGAAAGAACGCTTTTAGTGCTAATAGCTCCGCGAACGCATTCATTGTTGTGCGACAGCTACATGTTATTCACGATAGGTACACATACGTGTATGACGTGGCGGAAACAATTTTGTTCCATACCAAAGCACAAATTCCTAGAAAGAGCGTAGAAAGAGTCGTATATCAATATTAACAGCTCCGATCGAGTGTAAAAATATGCTTAGAGGAAATCCATTAAGAATAACAGAGGTGATTATATTTTACGATTATACTCTTGTCTATTCAGTCCGTCTGAAATGGCTCATCCCGAGAAACGCCAGAGAGAGGTCCAGGTTCAAACTTTGGCTGTGGTAAATTTTTCGTAAAAGAAATGAAAAAAATTAAATTACTTCTGGTATTTCTTGCAAAATAGGAGAGAAACTAGGAGAGAAAATAATCCGAATGAGAAAGTGACGAAAAGCATTGATTCGCAACGTTAATGTTTCAGCTCACGAGCTCACGAGCTCTGCAAGAGGCTATTGAAAATTGTTGCAAATTCTTCTAGATCTGCGCCAACGTATCGGAGCAAGCGCATCACGTATCCAGGGCCAAACGGGGACAAGCGATCGGCAGTATTCGGGGCTTTCGAGGTTGCACGGTGTGGCTGACTGGTCTCTCCGGTGCCGGCAAGACCTCCATCTCCTTCGAGGTAGAAGCCATCTTGGTGAACCACGGTATTCCTGCTTACGGCCTAGACGGCGACAACGTCAGGAGCGGTCTAAACCGCAACCTGACTTTTAGCAAGCAAGACAGGAAGGAAAACATTAGGAGAGTGGCCGAGGTAGCGAAACTCTTCGCCGACAGCGGACAAATTTGTCTCTGCAGCTTTGTATCGCCTTTCGAAGAGGACAGACAAATGGCAAGGCAGATTCATCGAGAGGCTCAACTGCCCTTCTTCGAGGTGTTTGTAGACACGCCCTTGCAGATCTGCGAGGCCCGCGACACCAAGGGGCTTTACAAGAAGGCGCGGCAAGGCACCATTAAAGGTTTTACCGGCATCGATCAAATGTACGAGAGGCCTACGAAGCCAGACTTAATTGTCAAGACCGAGAATTGCACCCTGGAGGAGTCCGCGTCGACTGTGACTGAGCTCTTACAGAAGCACCGCGTCATCCCGCAGCTCGCAAAACCGTCGGATCTGATCAGGGAGCTCTTTGTGCCAGAGTCCAGGCTGGCCTCCGCGAGAACGGAAGCGGAAGCTCTGCAGTGCTTGGAGATGAGTCAGCTCGACGTGCAGTGGCTGCAAGTCCTGGCGGAGGGATGGGCGTCACCGCTTACGGGCTTTATGAGGGAGCACGAATATCTTGAGGTATGCTTTCCAAGGCACTCTGTAGCCTGTGGATGGTCGCCGGGTTGAGCGATTTCGCTCAAGCCAAGTCCGAGATTGCAACTCGCCAGTATTGTAATAATTGTCTTCTTTAAGGCCCAACACCTGCGGTGCCTGCTCCAAGATGGCAAAGAGGCGAACCAATCGGTGCCAATTGTCCTCGCGATAAGCACGAGCGACAAGTGTCGCTTGGGAAATTGTCTCGCTGTAACCTTGAGGTACGAGCAGAAGGCTCTGGCCATCCTACGAAGACCGGAATTTTATTTCCATCGTAAAGAGGAGCGTTGCAGCTGGCAGTTTGGTACCAATAATTTGGGTCATCCCTACGTCAGGATGATTCATGACTCTGGAGACTGGTTGATGGGCGGCGACCTCGAGGTGTTGGAGAGGATCAAATGGCACGACGGGCTCGACAAGTACAGGCTCACGCCAAACGAGATCCGCACCAGATGCCGCAGGATGAAGGCTGACGCCGTATTCGCTTTCCAGCTGAGAAACCCCATTCACAATGGACACGCGCTGCTTATGCAGGTACGCCGCTCCTCGCGTCTTCAAAGCGATCGTCGTTTTTACGCTCGTTGCTAAAGGTCTGGGAGTGGAAAGTGATGTCTCCTTGTCAGTGTACGGTGTACGATGTACGATGTAAATCACCCATCGCGTCCTACATCTCGAGAGATAACCCTGACCGTGACTCTGACCTTGCTGTTTGTCGCTAAGGACACAAAGAGGCGATTGTTGGAGGAGCGTGGTTTCAAAAATCCCGTGCTGTTGCTGCATCCGCTCGGTGGTTGGACCAAGGAAGACGACGTGTCCCTGTACACCAGGATCCTGCAGCACAAGGCCGTTTTGGACGAGGGCGTGCTGGATGCCGATTCCACGTTACTAGCCATCTTCCCCAGCCCGATGATGTACGCTGGGCCGATTGAGGTTGACAGAACTCTAGCCAGCTTTTTCCAACTTTACGAGCCCTAGTTTCACTTGTAACTTGTAACAACTTGCTGCCTCGTAACTTAATTAACGCCCACGAGATAAACACGATCGCATCTTTGTGCAGGTGCAATGGCACGCGAAAGCCAGAATGAACGCCGGCGCCAATTTCTACATCGTAGGTAGGGATCCCGCGGGTATACCGCATCCAAACAAAGACTCGACGCCTGACGGCAATCTGTACGATCCCTCTCATGGCGCCAGGGTACTTTCCATAGCCCGAGGTCTTGATAAGCTCGAGATCATTCCCTTCAAAGTGGCCGCTTATGACACGCGAAATGGTAAAATGGCCTTCTTCGAACCCGAGCGAAAGCAAGACTTTGACTTTATCTCGGGAACAAAGATGCGAGGTGAGTCCTTCATTTTAATTCCACAAAATATATGTGTATGGTAAACAAAATTAAAACAAAATGGACACGTGTCCATTGTAATATCTTTTCTCAACATGTTTAAAAAAGATTTGGAAAATTTCGTAAAACTTTGAAAAGTCGAAATTTTCTACCTAATTGCTCATTAATTATTTTGTACTTGCAGGATTGGCAAGGACAGGCCAGAATCCCCCGGATGGGTTCATGGCACCAAAAGCATGGCAAGTACTCGTGCAATATTACCAAAGTCTAGACAAGAATTAAATACTTGACTAATGAGTAATAAAAGTTTCATTCGTAAACGATTTCCGTGTTGACTTTAACGAACCTCAATTTAAGGTTTGGTTACCTTGGTTATCAGTGCATTAATAATATCTTATTTCAAATCCGATATCAGACTATTCGTTAAAGAACAAGTGAGTTTTGAGCTCGTACTATTCTCTACGAATGCACGCTAAAGGTTGCTATGCTTCGAGTCTTCTAACCAATCATTTTCAATAAAAACCATGTATATTTAGCGAAATGTATATTCAACACTTTATTTGGGTGTAGCAATCTTTATGACGTTGGAATAGAATTGGTGCACACGTCGATACAAATTTGAAATTCTATCATGATCGACAATAATACGGTAAAGAAGGATATAGAAGAATTTTATCTCTCTTCGAGAAGAGAGGGAAGAAACACATTCCGATTCTACTAGGATCATAAAGATCCTCGATCATTGTATTTGCATATGGCATATAATAATTAAGTTTGTAGAAAGACCACTTTCTCCTAATTTACCAGAACAAAAAGGAAATTCGACAAATAAAGTATGCTCAATGAGACGCATCTTCGTTCAACGATGTCACGTTTCGAAAGAGAGTCGTAAGAGTAAAATGATAATTAAAGTTTCTTTCAATATGAAAACAACTTTCTATCGACAGCTGCTACAAACGTCATTGGAATAAGCGTATTATAAGCGTAGAGAGGCTTTACACATATATTTTGAAGCGTAGAGAAATACCATTAAATTGGACGAATAAATTACATTGGGTTATTTAAATAAAACTTTACTTATAAACTTAATGTCAAATTACACATGTTTAGATTTCATGCAGCACAGATTCTTCAACTACGTTTCAGCAACAGTACCATTTTGTAAGTTTGCTATTATGCGGTGCAACTTAGCGAAGACATTCTAGGGAAACACTGCAAAGTTACGACATGACTACAGCAAAAGATTGTCAAGCAATTCTGCAATTTCGAGTTGTTTGCCTGGGACGTTTCCAGTGTTTTCACTTTCCGCATAAATAATCACCCATAAGAAAAATTTTAAACATTAGCAAATACAAATATAATAATGGCCATTAGCATAGCTAAAATAAGACGATTGAAGATATTCACACAACACAATATTCCAAATAATCTGACTAAACTATTTCCTCAATATACGTGTACTATGAAAACGTATATTACGATTATCGGTTTTTATTAAAATTGCTTTTATACTACAAGACTTTCATATAAAAAATGGACAAGCTTCTTTTGTCTTATGTTGAATATCCCGATGTTTTCTCCAGCTTATCCGTTATAGTGAAAATTAGACATACCGAGTGTATATAATGTCATTGCATTTTAATAGCAACATTGTCATTAATACATACGTGACTCGAACATTGCTATTTGTGATGGGATGTGCTATAAAGATTGCCTTATTAAAGATGAAAGCAAACGTCCCACGTTGCTGCAATTATCTAATCATCTAATAATTTATTAACAAAATAAACTACGTCACATGTAATATTGTAATCTTGCAATGAAATATCTTTTGCAATCTTTCTGCGCTGCATGGAGTATATTCTTTCGGATGCATCATCCGACATTTACACTAATCCTATTCCTATTATGTATAAAATTTGTACAAAATGTTACTTTATACAACTGAAGCACGAAAAGTCTGATATTTTCTATATAAATATTTAGATAATATAGTAAACAAATGTATATACTATATATATATACATATAATACATATGTGTCTAATAAAAGGAGTTATATTTATATTTATATATACACATAGTTTAAGTAATACTCCCATCACTCGTTATTTTTGGTCTACCTTATTGATAACATATCTTATTAATAATCACCATTGAGATAATTTTATTCTTAACTAAACAAAAAACGGATACGTGGTCTACAGTCGAATCTTTATCACTTATTATTTTCTTAGAATCCCGAGCTATAAAATTTTTGACTTTTTTAAAATATAAATACAAGAGACTTGTGCGATTAATAAATTACTTGGTGAACGAGACTCATAGCCATAAAAGGTGTTTGTGTCATAATATTTTATTAAAATTCTGTGTGGATTTTATTATATATCTCCATTATTATTGTTTAATTAGTGATAAAATGTGTTATTATAAAATATTTCATCCTTGGATCTTTTCCTTTTATTCCTTAGATTGTATTGATTTCTTAGATTTTTTATACGTTTTGTAGCGTAAATCTCGTTGCATCTAAAGAATTGATTACGCTACTAAAGAATCAATGTGTTAGTCTATTTTTAAATAATGAAAAACACATAAATATATAATACATACGCTCTTCAAATATTAAAATATAACTTACAATTTTATTTAAATATTATGTAATTTATTCGTACTCGAGATAAATAATATTTAGTATTTTAAAAGCAATTCTTTCTATACAGAAATATGTGAGGATGAGGATGCGTCATGTTCTGAAAATTTTTTAAACCATCGATCTTTAGCTTTTCGAATTTATAAATTTATTAAGTTTTTCCAAGTTCTAAGTTTCGATTAAACAAGCATTTCGTGACAATTGCAACTGTGTAGATTACTGTGTAGACAATTAATCGCGATTTCTTTACAACTAGCTATTGAGATAGAAATCTAAAAGGAAACGTTTTCGACGTATACTTCATAAATATATTTTATCATATTACAAGTCGAAAAAGCTGATTTGTTTCACTTACGAGATCACAATCTATGTGGCTGCAACACGCGATCAGTGTGGTTTAACAACTATAGTGACCAATTTAAAAAACGTCGGAATGCCGAGAAAATACCAGCATACTATACGTGCCTGCCGATATCTCAATTCTTGAAATATCTCTTCAATTCAGCATTTTAAATTCATCATTTTGTGTTGCGTAAACCAAAATTGTATTAACGTATGCCTAATTTTTAAAACATAATTTTTCATGTACAAGTTATGTTTTAGAAATTAGATAGGCATGCGTAAATGTATATCCCGGAAATATTATACATCCCCATCATTGTATACTTGGTTTTCCTTTCGATTTTATACTTGCAAATTATGTTAAAAGTGCAGATTTTTATCAGAAAATTATACATTCGGTCTTGGTGCGATTGTTTTATTTAGGAATTCTTTGTTCAACTTTTAGTTTGAAAAAGTGAGACAAGTTTGAATAACGATGAACGCGACATTGGAAAAAAGACGCATTTTCTTATATTATATCTTATCTAAGACTCTTAACACATGTGTAAACCGAGCTAGTCATCTTGACCATTTCTGTAAAATACAAGTATTAGCAAAGTGTATATATAAGTAACATACTAAAAAGTATATAGTCTTGCACGTTTTTTGAACTACGTTATGTTACATACTGTCTGTATTAGAAATGAATGAATAATATATCTAAAAATAAATTCGAGGAGGAATTATTTGGAGGAAAGAGAAAGAGTACGAGAACACGTAATGAGAAAATGCTATTACTAGGACTATTCCAACTGCATTTCTTCTCTTGAAATAAATTAATGGGCAAATACGTTCAAGGTTTGAAATGGAGTAAAAAATGCAGTAAGTGCAGACAAAAGAGATATAAATTTTACCCACCTTTTTTTACTCTTTGCACTCAAAGTATCGAAAGAAGATAATGGAAAATTATATAATAATAATATAATGATAATAGTCATGTATTGACCATTAAATAATAGTCTTTCAGTCTAAAAGAAAGAATATAAAAAAGGTGCAGCAAATGTAGAGAGTAGATGAATGATTCATTATGAACAAGCGTGTAATACAAATTTCTATAAAGACCGATGCAAAATAACGATACAGAATGATTTATTTTATGCATAACACACATACGCATACACACATCACACTCTTCTCTTTCACCGATTTATACAAGATAGTTTACATAGTGTATCGGCGCTACTTTACACAACAAGCGCTTTCAATAATTTTTACTTCTTTCTCACACATCGTTACGTAATCTTGCACCTTTTCTTCTAATGAAAAAATCTGTCTTCATAGTTTTTTAAATTTCATACACTTTCTTCTTGCAAACAAGTTTTTACAAGTTCTCCCGTAATAATAAATGCTTTAGAGAATTTTTCCTCTCTATTCGTTAAAAAATGTTTAATTTTCTAGTTTCTTCTCCATGAGGATCTTGGTCTTTGCGTTTTTGCATTCTGTAATCTCCAATACTCGAGGCAACATTTGCACAATCTATTTGTAAGCTTTCTGTCGAAACGGAAAATATTCGTCTTGGATTTCTTCCGCCTCGTTTTCTAAAATGTTCCATAGCATTGGAAAAATAGGAATTTTCCGTTTCTATTATAAAAGAGGTGTTTGTAAAGAAGGAAAGATACACGGAATATATCCGGCGAATTAATTAGAATTCTTTTCGTAATTCCGTAGAAATGAGGAGTGCGGAATGTTGAAAAGCCAGAAGATGAAGATAGCTTTTATATCACGCTTGCGTGTACGACGGTGTGATGGAGTGGTTTCGCAGTCAGAGAACTGTTGGAAAAGAACTGCTGAATATAGAGGAAAGTCTGCCGAGTCAAATTCAATTGTTATACATGATTGATGTGGTCGCGTTGATAACTTCGGTGCTTGTTTCGGACAGGTCAGGCAGGGACAGCACCACTGGTATCATTTGAATCTCCCCCGATGAATCATTGGGTCGTGATTGCAAGTGCATCACGGTGCCCGACTGCAGTATGTCGTTGGTCATCATCTCGTCCGTCATGATCTCCACGCTAGGTTCTATATTGTCGGCCGTAACCTCCTCTGTGTACACCGTCGAATCCTCCATGTTCATAATTACCTCGGTAGCTTCCGATGCCTCTCTCGATGTCTCTTCGTACTCCTGGAAGAGAAAAGTTGAAAAATTGGTCTCTCTCTCTCTCTCTCTCTCTCGAGTAGAGTCGGAAAATATGTCGTGGACGAGAAGCTACTAGCTACCCTTACCTGCTCGTACACTTGTTCATATTCCTCCTGCTCTTCAAACTTGACGATCTGTTCCTGTTTGAATTTCATCATCTGCTCCTCGGTAAATTTCTGTTCGTACTGCTCCTCCTCGGTAATGCCCTGTCGACTGGTCGAGTCTTTGAGCGAGCTGTGCTCCTGCTCGGATCCCGAGGAATCGCCGTGGCGCAAATCCTTCTGCTTGACGTTCCTTCCGGGTACGATACGCTTGAAGCCTGAACCACCGAGGCTCTCGTGACGACGTTCATGCTTGTTCTTGTCACCGAGATATTTGAAGCGTTGCCTGCACACACTGCACGAATACGGCCGCTCGTTGGTGTGCGTGCGTTCGTGACAAACGAGGGCGCTCACTTGCTTACATCGCCAAGGGCAGTACCTGAGAAAAATGTCGAATAAACGGATGTAATCGAGCGACTGCGTTGTTTCGAGCCGCGATATCAAACGCGATAGCAATGCAAAACTTTGCGTATGTGATGAATGAATAGTCGAAGAAGAATAAAGGAATCTCTTCGAGTAAAAGTTGTAAAAGAAGGAATCCTTTAAACTGAAAGTTACAAGTTCTGAGAATGGGGACAATTGAGTGGATGTCGCAGGTAATACATATACCTGCACTGCAAAGGTCTCTCGTCGCTGTGTCGATTTTGATGATGCTTGATCAGCTGAATCTTCGTCTTGAGATTGAAACCACAAATCTCGCAAGTATACGGCCTTTCCTCGGAATGAGAGATCATGTGAGTCTTCAATCTCAATTGGTTTACGAATCGTTTCGGACAGTGAGGGCAAGCCAAAGTACCCTCGAGACGATTGTGCACGATCATCATGTGATGACGTAGACGCACCTCGGACGTGAAAGTAGCCTCGCAATCGAGGCACTTTAACGGATCCTTCTCCATGTGCGTATTTTTTATGTGTGTGCGAAGAATCAATTCCGTTTTGAAGGTCTTGTTGCAATGATAGCAAGAGACCCGTTTCTTTTCAGGCAGACCGGACTCGTCGCGGATAACACCTGGCATTGACTGGTTGTGAATGTGCGACATGTGCCACTCGAGCGATCTCGTCGAGATCATAGACCTGTTACAAATGTGACACGTATACTGCCTCCCGTCTTTGTGCTCCCTATTCCTATGAATCACCAAAGTCGAATGATTCGGAAACTTTTCCCCGCAGACCTGGCAGGAGCACTCTTTCAAGCCTCTACTGCCAGTCTTTTCGTGCACTCTCATATGCAGCCTCAAACCGTCCCTCCGATTAAATCCAACGCCACAGGTGTCGCAACGATACTGCCTTTGGTCCTCGTGAATTCTCGTGTGTTGCTTCAAGGTCGAGCTGTTTTTGAACATTTTGTCGCAATGTGGACACTGAATACTGTAAGCTTTATGCGTGTGCATGTGCTTTGACAAACTGTAAAACGGCACCAATTTCCTGCAAACTTGGCACTCCCTCTTATTTCCAACCGGCTGATGCTTCCTGATTCTATGATGCCGCAAGCTCGCGGGATTCTTAAAATCCGCACCGCAATCCTCGCAGAGATACGCTCTCAGAGTGGTATGAACAGACTTGAGGTGAAAGCTCAGTTTTTGCTTGAAAGCAAATTTTTTCGGACACTTTGGACACTGATAAATCTTCTCCAGACTCGTGTGTTGCGTCTTGAGGTGCTGGTCCAGGGTTCCTTGGTGCTTGAATCTTTCGCCACAAATCTCGCAAAGCTGACCGTACAGGGCGTCAACGTGCTTCTGCTCGTGTTGACGTTTCTTTCCTCTAGAATCGAGAATTATGTCGCAATATTTACAAATTAATTTCCTCACGCAAATTACATTATGATTTCTCTTGGCTTTATTGGTTTGAAACTCTTCCCCGCAGTCGTCGCAACAATGAAGAATACGATAATCGTGGGACTTGAGATGTTCCTCGAGAACGTCGCGTTTCGAGTACGTTTCGGAACAATAATCACATTCCAAGTAGCGCTCCTCGGAAAGCGGGTCGACGGGAGGTTGAGTGTCGATAAGGTCCGGAAGCGATTTCGAGGATGATTTTAAAGTGGTGGAAAATCGATCCTCGTAGAGGGAGATTATGTCCTCGTTAGTGAGGCGAGTAAGAACGATTTTACGCTGCTTCAGGTACTCTTGGAATACCTAAAATGAGGAAATCAATTTCAAGAAAAGGAGTAACTCTAACGATTGAAAATTAATAACAAAATTTCAATTACCTGCAGATTCTTTTCTCTTTCCCCCAAGACTTTTGCCAATTTCTCCAAATTCCCTTCGTTATACGACTCGTCCAGTTCTTTCTGCAAGCTTTCCTTTTTCCGCTTTGTCTCTTCCCACTTTTGTTTCAATTTCAACCTTGACAAATATTCCTCTGTATTATTATTGGCCTTTTCTTCACCTTGGCCAATCTTCTCTTCCTCTTCTTCCTCCTTTATCTCCACCTCTCCTTCCTCCTCCTCCTCCTCCTCCCCCATGTCCTCCTCGTCGTCCTCCTCCTCCTCCTCCTCCTCCTCCTCCTCCTCCTCCTCGTCCTCCCCCTCACCCTCCTCCCCCTCCCCCTCCTCCTCTTCCTCCTCCTGCTCCTTCTCTTGCTCTTGCTCTTGCTTCCTCTCTCCAACCGTTCCTCCATCCGAAATTGTCGTTTCTTCTTCCGCCTTAACAAAATTTAACTTTGCGGAAATTTCTTCCTCTTGTACTTCTTTTTGCGTCTCGTTCACGGCACACGTTACAACCGACTGACCTCCAAGGACTTTTTCTCGTTTCTTTTTATATTCTTCGATTTGTTCCTCAATTATTTGCTCGCGAGCGTCAGGACGCCGCGATGAGAAATCTTTCGATGTCAATGTCTCGTAACGTTTGAGAAAACGCTCGACAGGCTTGATATCGGTGCAAGTTACCGCGCGCTTTGATTCCATGGGTTTGTCCATTTTCTTGACCTGAAAGAAATCGCAATCGTAATTATAACGTATTTAGAAAGAAAGAGAAAATAATGGGACTTGTACTTTGATGAAATTTCAATTCACTCAATTATAAAATAAAATCACTTACTTTCACCAGAAGAAGCTCGTTCGGTTTGGATCCTTTTACAGTTACGTACATGATTCCGTCCTCTTCTGGAGGACTATTCGCGAGATTGTTTATGTCCAACTTTTGCATTTTGCACTCCTTCATTATGCTTTGTACCTCGCCCTCCCCTTCGTTCTTCGTCATTACCGTTGGCATTTCCAGTTTTCTTTTCAATATATTTGGTTGTCTCATCATTCCCTCCCTCTGATTTTCTCCTTCGCCCTCTGAAGTCTGGGAGGCTCCAGATTTCACGGAAACTCCTTCCTCACTGTTCTCCACTCTTACATACGACTTTGCTGCCATATCGTACTTGTAGACAGTTGCTGGTGATCTAGGTCCTTCTTCCTCTTCTACTTCTTCTTCTTCTTCTTCTTCTTCGTCTTCCAGAAGCGCGGGGTCATCAGGATCAAATTCCTCGATAGATTCCTCATCCTCTCCCTCCGCCACTTCCTCGAATATCCCTCCTCCGCCTATCTCTATTACCTCTTCCTCCTCATTATTATCAGTGTCCTCTTTTTCTTTCTCCTCAATTACCTTCGATTCGTTGTTCAACGAAAAGATGGCACAGATTTTCGGTACAGAGTCATTTCTTTCGTTTTCTCGCTTCGATGACATTGGATACGAGTTGTGCTGAATTGTGGGAGACAATTGTTGCTTCATTTCTGCAATTTGTGCAATTTTTATTTAAACTCTCGTGTGAAACCTAACGAAACCTAATAATAATGTTGAAAATGACTGAAAAAAGAAATACCTGTACAAGATGGTTGCTTCTTCTCTTTCGTTGTCAAAGATTCGTCGATCGGCCCTACTTTTCTCGTGGCATTATCGCTCGCGAGATTGGCATGAATAGATTTCAGTTTGATCTCAGCTTTCTTTATTTGCATGAAAAACTTATAACTCATTCTAAGATCACAAATACAGTCCATGCACATCTGTGTAGAGAGACTATCGTAAGGATTCACCTCGAGATGTTTGATTTGCTGACTCAATCGTAATTTAATGCCCTTCTCACTAAAAAAATCCACCTACAACACAAATTTAAGCTACAGACTCGGTTTGATTAGCGCAAAAGAAAGAATATAAAGCAAGTACCAAGTGCTCTTTTAGACCAGCACAGGTACGGCAGTAATTTCTCAGTTCTTGCCGTGTCTTTTCGAGAACAGGTGTATCCGTCTGCTGTAATTTGTTGCTGCTGTTACTCAAAGAAGAGATCCTCGTCAACTCATTTAAGCTCTCGGTGTCCTCTAGACGGACGCGCGGTGCAATCTTTTTCAGTTCGTTGATGTCTCTAATCTGGCCGACGATAGATCCCGTCTTGGATACTTTGGCAATGATGCCACCACTGCCATTGTTGGTATGTTGAGGTTTCGATTCACTGTAATTGTGATCGCGTTTATTCACTTGGAGATTCGGCATGTCTTCCCTTTTCTCTTCTTCTTTAGGATCACTCTTACTCGCTCTCCCGCATATAGCAATACCAATTGTACCTGAAATCAATAGAAATGTAGGCAAAATAAGAGGTATCTTATAGTTGTTGAAATAAAATACCTTAATCGTTGAAGAATCTAGTGCATACTACAGAGTTGCTATCCATTCTAGAGTTATTATTGATAACGTATGCTTTTATGTTTTGATGACAAATCCGAGGATTGGCAGGGTATTCTCCGTAGATGAATCGCGGCAGGGAGGATCTCTCTCTCTCCCTCCCTCTTCGATCACACTCTCTTCCCCCCCCTCTCCCCACCCTGAAACAAAAAATATGTATACATGTGAAAATAGCTGTCTTAAAAAATTCCGAGATTAATGATCGATTGAGAGTATTATGAATTATTAAATCGATTGGGTATCCCGTAAGAGGGTTGACTCGACCGAATCTCGAATCTCGAGAGATCAGGTTAGAGTTAGGTAGAGAGAGAGACTCGTTTGTAAAGCGGAACAAATCTCAACCTCAAAGCTGCCGAAGACAGAGACAGGCTCGCAAGATCCGTCGCACCTCGACGACCTCGACACGACGCCGACGATAATTTCGCCTTCGACGAGAGGAAACTCTGAATTCGCAGTACACTCGATACTCGGTGATACTCGGCCGCGAGTGCCAGATGGCGCGTGCAAATGGCGGCCTCGCAAATGCTTGGAAACACCTCGAAATATAATAGGCAGGATGGGCAAGGCCATGGTGTAAAGATACAAGGTGAAACATTGCGCATGTAACCAATTTTTCGGGCAAATTGTTGATTGGCTCTTGCTGCATTCAACCGCAATGATTTGCAGTTGGAAGGTCGAGGCAAATTTCTGATTGGTTGACACCGCGCACCCGCAGCAGATTGCTTCACCTTGTATCTTTACACCATGGGCAAGGCGAACCGTCAAGTTGCCACCTTGTAACGCGTGTTGATTGGCAGCAGGCTAGTAAAATTCTCTCGTATCTAGAAACTGACGTGCTCAGTGGAAACGTACCCCCAAGTCACACGCATGTCGTGAATGTCGCATGGTCAGCGTCACTCATCAGTCGGCATTAGTTGACTACCGATCCAGGCGGATAATGTAAATATAATTTTCCGAAAGTCTCGCCTCCGTAATATGTCGAATGAATTCGTGCATTCCGTTGCGGTCCCACGTATTTACAAAATCACGGCCGACATCGTGCGTCGCGTGCGTGAGGATGGTGCCAGTCTGAAAAGTCTCATTTACGAAAAGAAGCATCCCGTAAGTGTAAAAAGAAAAGGGACAAATTAGAAGAGAGTCCATACGGCTCTTACGTCACGTCGATCACGTTGTTGAGCAATTTCTTCAAACGTATCGATTCTCCATCTTCCAGTATTCTAGTAGCCATTTTAGCCAATCGGTTTCAAAGATTTACCCTACGACATAATAACTCGTAATAATGTCATGATTTAGAACGTGGCCGGCATACACGCTCTCTCGGTGAATACTCTACGAGCGCTACCTCAGTTAGACTTGCTTCTCGACAAGACCGAAATTCTAACGGAACAACCGCGTTTGAATCCCTGGCTAGCCAGAGTTCTCATAACGGAGCTTCTGTGGCGCAAGAGATGCCTCAAGAGCCGCTCCAAGCCAGTCTTAACCGTTTTAGCTTACGAGAAGAGACTGCGAGAGGAATCAAAGAACCTTGGCTGCATAGAGACTCTCGCCGTTGACAAGGAGAAAGGTAACTGTTACTGTGCGCTTGATAAGCTGACCGTTTGTGTTTACATTTTTTTGCAGGTACACAGTCTCCTTCGACGCATGGTAGTGCAATAAAGGCATTCGTTCTTCTTCATGGTCCTGATTATTCGCAACTGCAGAATATTATCCAGTCGGCCGAACAAACTAGTTAGAGTCGGAAAGCTACGAGATTATCCTTGTCGTCGGATTTGCGACAGAGAAAACAACTGTGCGATGGGTCCGGCAGCTGTATTGGGAACATTGTTCCTCTATAGCGTCGCCATGTTCACTTTACCCTTCGCTGCATTCTTTGGGATACAACGTTTCATGATATTAGAATTCCAAACTGATACCGCCGTCACTAATTACGTCTCCGTACTGGCTGCCGTAGTCACAGTCAACTTGATCATCTCCTGTTACGCTTATCAAGCTTTAAACGAATCTATCGACGAGAAGGAGCAAAGCGAGGATCAAGCTCAAGTCGAGTCCAAAGAGAGTTTGAATAAGAAAGCTGATTAAGATACGAGATTTTCTCTCTAGAGAAACAAAGTTTGCAAAGTGTCTATTGTTTTTCCTATTCAAAAAAGGAAACATTTTTTCATTACTTAAAGTATGTGTATCTAATTAGCATCTAATAGCAGTGTACATGCATAATGGAGAAAAAGATTTAATAACTAAAGAAGATGTAAATATGTTTACATAAAGTCTGTATATAATGAACATAATGATGATCTTTACGTAATAAAATGCCAAGCAAAAATACAGTATTGTACTCTTGTATCAAATATATTCCTTTAGGGAAAGAAAACCTTTCTCTTAGCATTATTGCGGATTCCTGGTTTTACACGATGAAAAGTGTTGGAACCAAGAGAAACGTGGAAAAGTTTTAAACGCACAATAGACTCAAACTGGAGGCTGCTCTCGATTGCCACGTAAAAAAAATCCCCATTGACATTAACGGTGGAAACGAGAATTATTCATTTTATTACAATATGTGAAAGCAAATATTTATTTACATACAAGTTATTTGTGCCTGGATTATTCCCAAACGAAAGAGAAATTTTCGATATATTTTACAAACAATACAAATTCTAATCTGTCGATTACAAACGCTCTTTCGTTGAGAAATACTCTTCTTTTAATCTCACTCCTGCCTTCGTTATCGATCCAACATAGCTGCAAAGAGTACACAAGTTTTTCAGGAGAAAGAAATGAATTTTTCCAAACCAATTGACCATTTCTCTCTCTCTCTTCTTTGTTTCAGGGCAAAAGCCTAGATATGTCCGCATCAATACTCTTCTGTTATCAGTGGAAAAGGCCATCTCTCTCTTCCAGGAAGATGGATGGCAATTACTACCCAAAAGTACAACATATTCTTCATATCTACAATCCTTGTCGCAGTTATCTAAACCGCATTTTATACAAGATCTACATATACCTGAAATGTTGGTTTTTCCGCCCTCAACACCCTTTCACAAACACAGCAGCTATGAAAATGGCGAGCTTATTCTTCAAGATAAGGTATATATAACATTTGTTTCCCTGTCTAGTCTGATAATGTCATTCTAGTATTATCAAATGTTTAATATAAAACTAATTAACTTTAAGTGTACATATGTGTTTATTCAGGCCAGCTGTTTGCCGGTACACTTGTTAGATCCTGTTAGTGGTTCAGTAGTGCTGGACATGTGCGCCGCACCCGGCATGAAGGCTACGTATGTGGCAGCAAAATTGCAAAATTACGGGTATGCACATTTGCTCGGTCAAATGTTAGGTTACGCATATATTACTTAATCATTTGTAATTTTAGTCAAGTTTATGCCGTGGAGATTGATGCCAAGAGATTTGAAACCTTATTGAGTCAGATAAGAAAGACTCGTTCCTCCTGCGTGGAAGCCCTTAATCAAGATGCCCTGACTCTCGATCCAAAGCAATATTCACACGTGGAATACATTCTAGTCGATCCGACTTGTTCTGGGTCAGGTAAAAGAATGGCGTATGTAATGATATCCTTTTGCGATTAATATAATTTTACACTTTTTATCAAAGGCATTGCCGACAGACCAAAACAGAGTGACGTGGATGGAAAACCCGAATTACAACGCTTACGCAATCTACAATCGTTCCAAGTTTATCTTCTTAGATACGCCATGTTCAACTTTCCAAATGTAAAAAGAATCATCTACAGCACTTGTTCTTTACATCCCGAGGAAAATGAGCAAGTAGTAGACGAAGTTCTCGCCGATATTGGTGGCGCTTATCGTTTGGTACCAGTTGGACAATTGCTTAAAAATAACTGGACAAACTTTAGCTCGAAAAAATACAACTGCGGGGATACATGCTTATATTCCAAGCCAGATGATGATTATTGCAATGGTTTCTTCGTAGCGGTATTCGACAGGAATTTTGACGTGACTCTGCCAAAGTGCAAACATAAAGGGGGCAACGAGTATAGAAGTTGTTTCGAAGCTAACTTGAATGTCGAGAAAGATGAAACAGCTGCGTACAAGAACGGAGAGGAAGAGAAGAAGAAGAGGAGGAAGAGGAAAGAAGAAATTTCAACGAATGTCGATGAACAAGGAAAGATGTCTGTAATTCCCGAAATGACAAGTAATTTTAATGATAGATTGGCATCAAATGAATCAGAAGGTGTGAAAGAGAAAATGTTGAAAAAGATGAAAGTGAAAAAATCAAAGCGTAAAAATACACTCGAGGTAGAAATAAATAATGACAAGTCGAAAACTGAATATGACGAGGAAGAACAAAATAAGAAAATTGACAGTCAACCGTCGAAGATAAAAGAGGAAAAGGTAAATGAAGAAACTGTAATTGTAATATCGAAGAAGAGAAAAAGAAATAAAAAGAATTGAATGAAAAGGAAATGTTGTTAAAGGAGAAATGTATTTTTTACGTATACATATGCTTTCACACAACATCGTTATCCCTTATTCCCTCTGATTTAAAGATTTAAAGACACACGTATATATACATATACAAACATTTCTAAAAAATTAAATAATTGCCAACGATAGATATCTAAACTGTTGAAGAGTCTCGAGAAGTCTACATACATAGAGCGCATATATACTTACGGTAGATAAGTAAAAAGGGCCATTTGCTCACTCGCTCAGTTATCGATCGCGATACCACCGATAATTGAGCGATTTGTATGTATAACATAGGTCATAGACAACATTTCTCGAAATGGGGAGGTAAAAAAGAAGTTTAAAGACTACGTCAACATAGGTAACGAGTAGCACGACGTGAGTATACAACATGGAAGCCTGTTGACCTCCTTGTTCAAGTCAACCGATAAGCATGTCGATTATACCGCGAGGTATATATAATTGCGGTGAAAAAACCTTTTCTGATATATGTATATATATGTCTATATAGACGCTGGTTGATGTAATTATACGATAAACTATATGATTCAGTTTTCTAACTTGGCCCTCAGCGCGCGCGAGGTACGTTACTTGCTTAACTCGTTAGAATCACGTCGCGTGAGTCACGACACGAAACGTCGAGAAATATTGTCTATTAGAGCTATAACTTGAAATATGTTGTCGTAAACTACAAAGTGTTGGAGAAGTAAAACTAACTTTATTTAGTGATTGTAATTGTATCACATCTTCTTCCTCGAAATTTTTCATCCAAGATGGACATTTTTACCTCTTTGTTGTTCTCTCAATTAGGTGAATATTTTTCAGCGACTTCCGTTTCTGTCGCAGAAACTTAAATGAAAAGCACTCTGATTCAATTGTATTTCTATTTTATTAATACGGCTCTAAAGTGTACAGCCACACCTCATTTGCTTCATTTCATTGTAATTTTTCTTATCGGTGCAACAAGTTCCGCGTTCACTGACACGAAGCATCGACGGACGGGGGGCAACCGCCCCGTGGCAGTGAAGAAAGAGCGACGACGGGGACGGAGGTCGGCAACGGCGAGAGAGGACGTCGACGGTGGCCGGCAACGCCGAGGTTGCGCGGCCACTCGACGTCGAGACGCCATCGCCGAAGGACGCATGAATATGTATACTGCTGACATCGGTATCGCCGCGATTCAGCCGAATCAACTTTGATAAGGTGATTCGTCCGCGTCGATATCAACGCCGTCCGATCGTACGAATAATAATCGGCCGTCAATTTATCGACATTCGTCGCCCGTACAATAGTGTCAGTGAACTTTGGTGAACTTTTCCTCGGCGGATTCTCGCTTTCTTTCCACGCCGGTTATCAAGTTGATATCAAGTTGGTACACAATATTTTTCTACTCTTTCTTTACTTTCTTTTATCGCAATATGCAAACGATTCTAACGAATAAATATACATACTGGGCGGTTTCACTTTAATTTCATCGCTCTTGTTTCATCTTTTCTCAAATTGTCTAATCCAATTTTCCTCATTTTCTCTAAATTTCTTTGTGTGTGTGTGTGTGTCTAATAATTTTTCAAATTTGATAAAAATAATACAAGATTAGAAATATAACGTACGTTGATGATCTGAATAATTTTTATAAGATGGACATTACTTTTGCGTAAAATTATGTCATTTCAATACAATTAAAAGTAGAAAATGCTCAAAATCTATACAAATTAATTGACAACGATTTTGTATCAGCATTGATTTACCACTCTTGTCAGTTGAAATGGCAAAATAGTTAAATAACACAGAAATTCAACGAGATGAAAAAGGACGTATAAATCATTGCGGAAAGCAGCCGATGCTGTTTTGCATTCGAGAGTGATGTGTCACGCACGGCATAGCGTGGCGGCGTCGGCGGCGTGTCTCATATGTATGCAGGGGCTAGCAGGGGCTAGATCGAGCAACTACTCGAGTTATATCCGACTTTTCAATGACTCGACGATGTAAGCGAGATCCAAGATCGCCAAGTCAGATAGATGTAATGTTGGATAACTCTACTTGTCATTGAAAAAAAAAAGTGCAGTAAAAGAGGGCGCATACTGAGCAGATTATCACAATTATAGTATATATTGTAATAATCTAGTACGTACGTCACACATCATCAGTCACAACGTGTATCAGTAACAGGACAATAGTAAAGGGGAGCGATGCGATAGGTGTGAGAGTTGACAAAATACATACATACTCTGTCCGAGTTGCTGATCGATGGACCTGCAGTGGGAGCTGCAGTTGCGAAATAAAAACGGTCGATCGATCGGGAATCCCCAACTATCACGCAACACGTGATCGACTGACCAGCACTTGCAGTATTCTCAAAGTGGTGATTCGTGCCATGTTTCCATCTAATTGTAAGAAACCTTGAAATATCAAAAAACGGCTCTTACATTATTCCTTCATTCCCGTAATAATTTCTAATTCGATCACGTGTTATCGCATCTTTTTTAACAATTGTTGATTCAACGAATTTGTAATAAACTTGTTATCATGTTCTAGACACAAGCAATGAGCAAACGTCGAGGATCTAGATCTTTTTCTGTGATCGCAAGAGCACGTGCCGAGTAAGGAAACTCGAGTGGCGGCGGCCTCTGCTTTGCGGATGATCGAGACTGAAAATCAGTCAGATTCGCGCGCGAGCAGACTGGGCCAGGAAACCGAGGATCTCCTCGTAGCTGGCGGCGGTAACGGTGGTAATCACGAGACTGGTGAGGAAACAGCTGCTACAACTACCGCGACGACAGTGGAGGACATAGGTGAGCAAGCGTACCCCTTCATTCACGTAGATATTAAAAAGGAAAATTCTTCCATTCAGACACGATGAGAAAAGAAGAGCAAGAAACGTCGCGGATTCACGAGAATTCGTCCAAGGGCGGCGTCGTCACGAGCATCGCGACGCCCACCGCGGCATCGGCGATGCCGGTGGAAGACGACGAAGAGGAGGAGGAAGCGGAAGAGGAGGAGGAAGAGGAGGACGCCGAGGAGGAAGAGGAGGAGGACGGGGATGAGGAGGGTGAAATCGTAGTGGAGGGTGGAATGACGACGCGAGAAGAGGTCGGGGGTGTGTTGGCCGGTGGTGAAGGTGGGGGTGGAGGCGGCATGGCCGGCTACTGGAGGCAGAGCAGACCCTCCAGTCCCCGCATGCCGCCTCCGGAGCAGTCGGAGCAGCCGAGCCGACCCAAGAGCCGGCACGAGCTACAACCCGCGAGATATAACAACCTCGGCTACTGGCGAGCGAGAAGAGTAACCTTTTACAAAAATGGCGATCCTTACTTTCCAGGGGTGGAGTTCAGGTGAGTATCGCCATTTGGTCAATAATACTCTAGTCTAGCTGAAGAAACCAAGATGCCTGATAGATACATCGAGAAAAATACTTGTTGAATCATTATCTGTCGTGACATTTTATTCCTTACAATATATCTGTCACAATTTATATACAAACTTATTTCTCTTTTTCATCTGGCACAAACATTATTATCAAGATAGGTTCTTCTTTATTTATCACATCTCTCTTTTGTTTCAATAGTCGAAAAATAATTGTTTAGAGGTAATCACTCTGTCGAATTTTACACAGAGATTGAAACAAAATAAAAAATTTATTTTATACACGTGAATACATGTACATGTATGTATAGGTATGTATATCTACAACTGCATACATATACGTGTGTTTTGGCAAATGAAACATTTTGTATAAATAATGTAATACATGTAAAATAAAACATCATAAAAGTGTTTTTAAATATTTTGAATAAATCTACAAGTATACATATTTAAAAAATATTATTCAATAGTGTATATTCAAACGTGACTTTATAATATATATAGGTACTGTATTGGTACTGTAATAAAGCATTTCTTTTTGTGCCAAGATTTAATGAAAATTATTTTGAAACAAGAAAGATTTCTTCCTCAAAACTTGTCGAAAGAATGGTAAAAGATACAAAAAGTTATTTATAAAATTTATAAAAAATGTAAATATAAGAAAAATTTTTACGTGTAAAAAATTGAAAGATATTAACAAACGGGAAATGCCTATACAATGCATGCCATTTCTAAACGGTATGTTTATTTTGTTTTGATCAAAGATTTATACAACTGCATGTATATTTATAAAAATACTGTCTATTGACGCAAAAGCACGAAAGGACTCTACACTGAAAAGCAAAATAATATAAATTTAGTAAATTACATATAGTTTTAAACGCATTTAGTGTCGTCCAATTATGGAATTATCTGAATTAAAATCTGAATAAAGATTAAAACATACATTTCATGTTTTGTATATTAACTTTGTGACATTATATACTTTTAAGGGAAAATTCTATTGAAATGTTGATGTAAAGTATTAGTAAAAGGATGTCTCGTAGAGCTTTGAAACTACTCTATATTACTTTAGAGATTTCTCTCCCATATTATTTTCAGATTCAAACCCGGTCGCGACATTGGTTCTTTGGAGGCCCTACTGGATAGATTGTCCCTTCGACTGGATTTACCGAGAGGGGCACGCCACATCTTCTCGATGGATGGTGACAGAAAAATCCACCTTGACGAACTCGAGGACGGTGCCTCGTACGTAGTGTCCAGCTACAAAACATTCAAGGTAAGAGATCTTTATGCAACATTACACAAGTTCGATTATTGTAGAAAGGTGAGTTGGAATTATTGTTTGAATTGTATACATATATATATCATGTTTTAAAAATGAAACTGGGTCAGTAGAGCCTAATTAAGATCAATTTGTAACATGGATTGTTTTAATTAAAATGATTACGATTTATTGTTGACGTAATCTTAATAAGAAAGTACAAGAACGTGTTTCGTAGATAGTGAAAGTGTGTGTTAATCATGTCGGATTAAAGCGCTAGTTGGTAACAACCTCGATACTCGTGAACTTGACTGACGTTGTAAACACGTCTTCTTCAAAGCACGATCGACTTGATCGCGCGAACATTCTGGCGTTTTATTTCCTTCTACCGGTGTCTACAACGTATGAGAAATGAAATATGTATTTTCATGATAAATATGAAAATATAGTTAAAGTTTCGTAACTTTTAAAATCTTTATTGTTTGTCTTCTTTGCAATCATACAATACGGAAGTTATTCTGTCCCATCTTTTCTCTAACACACACAAAGGAAGTAAAACGAAGAATAAGAAAAGATTATAAAATATCCTAAAAGATTGCGAGTTTTCCTCCGTTAAAACAAGCACACATGTTTTATACAAAAATCATATAGGACTAAAAAAGATTGAAAAACGCAGCAACTAATATAGCGGTAGAATTTAGAGTGGCGCTATAAATGTATCACCTTTTTTAAATAACTTTTAGAAAGATAGTAACAATTGTAAGAATACTCCGTACAACTGCTAGCGACGACAACGACAACGACGACGACGACGACGACGACGAGGACGTTGTGTATATCTGGCCCAGATCAGCTTCTTAAAGCAGGCCGCACGCAACGCAAATTGTATTTGCGCGAGAATGGGGAGCGTACTTTTCTTTCCCTTCCCCTCTCCATCTCTTTAGTAACGATGTATCTACTTGCCTTAAGATTATATAGTATTTATAATTTGTAAAAAAGCTTACTCGAAAAGATTTCTCATCATTTAATTGCTTGTTAGGTTTATGGGTGCAAGGTGGATGAGAAGCAATTTTATTTTGTCTTACGTCATTCGGCATTATGGATCACACCCTTCCGTTGCTTCAAAGGTGTGACCAATTTAACTCGTTGTGTATTACAGTGCACTTTGATACAATTACGATCCAATTACTTCGATCGCCAACCATATGCAGGATTATTCTTTAATACACCAAAGTGGCTAAAGCTTATGCATGAGTCTTCCATTAAACAACTTTGCATGCCGATTGGCCCCAATTAGCTTCTCGCCAGATCAATATTCTGAAATGTACAACTCAATATACAATTTGATTTGTTAAAGAAGAAAAAACGGGTGATAAAGAGTATCATTTTTCTCCATATTAATTTTACAAATTTGTAAGAAAGCGAAACTTGCGTGCAGATTATCTGCGAAATTAATTTAATTATAATTTAGAACGTATATTCAATCAAAAAGTTACTGTGCCGAGAGAGAGATATTTTTCTAAAATTTTGTTTAGACAAAATCTTAAAAAATTGAAAATAATATATCCCATGCCTTTAATATTTCTTAAAGATCCAAAACTACACTTTTTCTTGTATTTAATTGTTTTAATATTATATAATATATTTATCTTGTAACCTCGCATTTAATCTTTCATATATATGCCAAAAATTACAAGATTTGATCAATTGTTCAAATACAGTTCTAAACTGAGATATGAATATGTAAACGCAATATATCGGACAGATGCGTTTACAGTGGAAGAAAGAGCGTACGTGAAAAGGAAAGGATAATATATATAAAGACACAAGAGTGATTTTTAAGTGTCGGTTGGTATCGAGCGGGGATGAGTTTGCGCAAAACAATCACGTACTTGTTTCTTCTCTCTCCTTATTTTCTCCCTATAAGATTCCTTTCTGTGCTTCACACAATCTTTCTCACTCTTTTTCTTCCTCCGTCTTTTCTTTTGTTTTCAAAGCCATTTCTGCCGTTACTTTAACACTTGGCGCGATTTGTAAAATACATATACATACCTTCGTCAAACAGAACAATTCTTTGGAAACATTCTTTTTCATGATGTTTTTCTTATCTTCATATCCTAGATTATCTGCGGATTTTCCAGCCAATTCAAAGTCAATTTTTTCGTTATTACAAGAAGCTTTTCCGTTCTACTTCTCTGTTTTACTTGTATATTCTTTTGTCAGTAAGCATGTCTTAAAGTCTTAAAGTTTTCAAGTCTTAAAATTCAAGAGATTTGCAAAAGTTTATTTGAAACTGAAGTAAGCTTTTATCTCCATATCCATAAGCTTAAAATTTGCTTAAATTTGCAATCACACATCTATCTATAAATTTTCTTGACAAATAATGAAATTACTGAAAGATAGCGCGCGATACACATTAGTTGCTTGCTACGCTGCGCGAAATAGTACATCGATCCGTTTTGCATTCCCATTATCGTCATTTCTGACAAGCTAACATATCGTATCACGTTCTTACACTTGTGCTATCGCGACAGAGATTCGTGCCTTTAATTAGATTTTTATTATATGTTCGTTCACCTCCGTTCTCTTTTCCTAGAGCAAATTGCGTGTTTGTTCCTTGCGTCGCATTGCTTGCCACGCTATTGGCGACCTAATTACATATTACCAACAAGAAGTCACTATTGCCATGTGCACAATCCTTGGAACGTTAAGTATGTATAACAATCACTCTCTGCAACTGCATAAATAATAGGAATACGGCAGTCTTTCCTAATCCATAAGTACAAGAGCTCTAAATCCGCATAGGTTACACTTGAAAAGAAAAACACACTACCGATACCTTTAATAATTATTAAGATAATAATAAAAGAAGTTTAATCTAGTGGAATTTTCGATCAACTCTTTGCTAATTTCACAATAGCAACCAACTCGATTTTCTTGGTCGGAACACAACCGAGAACGCATGAATCACGGAGTAGTGAGTGAGTGGGAGGTAGGAGAGGGAGGGCAATTCCTACTTCCGTTAAGAAAGCCGTAGAGGCTTGTAGAGGGTGGCAAGAGAATGGGGGAGAGACCGTATCTCATTGACCGTTGGTCAACCGGCCTCTTGGGATCAATAAACACCAAGTTCTCTTTGCTTGGCTTACCTTCGAGAACGCTGCTTTTCCAGATTTTTCACTAATCTTAAAATCTTCAAGTTGCGGTCGTTGCTCTCCAGAAAAGTCTTATTTTGCCGGTTGTTCTCTCATCTTCTCCTTTTTCAGTCTTTTCGCACAATTATCTTTATCTCTTCATTTAAATTTCCTTAAATTTACTTTTATCGGTAATTTTATATCTGCAGCATATAAAACGTGCTCACGCGCGCACGCGTAGCTTTCAAGCGACTGTAGCCACTTATTCATATACGATTATACGCGAATCAACGACGGTCCCAGCATTGATATCTCCACGATCGATTACATTGTTTGCCGTAGTTCATGTCACCAAGATAGCGCGGGAATCAAAGAAACGCGACAAATGCACTATATATGTATGTGTACACACAAGTGTATTTTCATTAACATTCATTAGCTATACTTTCTAGCTAAACTTCTTATCCTTCTCCGTAATCGCTGCTCTATCGAGCGATAGCTGACGAGTGCCCCTTACTTGAGCTATTATTTTCTCCGGCGAATTATTTTTCCGTAATCGCTATGGCACATTTTGAATCACGAGACCTTGCTATCGTCACGCAACATATATGAGCTCGTTCTTCATTTTCATATCGCAAGGATACCTCGTGTTAAATTAGGAATGAACGAAAAGAGAAGTAGAAGAAAATTATTAAAAGATATGGATTTTCCTTAACAATTGTATGTGACTCATCAATATCATTTAAGACAGCCAATTGTCTTGCATTGCTCATTTCAAAGATTTCTCGAGGAGTTGATTCCCAGCTGAACTATGAGATTTTTCTTTCAATCTTTAAATTGATTTTTTTTATTCTATAGTATATACTCATGATAATTATGTATATATTTATTTCTTTATATCGCATAATATAAATAAATAAATGATAAAAAAAATATATATATAATTGTAATAAAGAACTAATTTATGTAAATTGTTTTCTACAAATAATTATAGAATATATCCGATAAATTGATAAACAATCATCGCAGAATTGAAGTAGTGCTTTATAGTGAAGAAACAACTAAAATAACTATGTGACAATTGTTTTTTACTTATGCGCAATTGTATAAAGAAAGTATAGCCTTGAATATGAGAACAAACGCTAATCTATTTAACTGCAGATATATCTTTTTCATGAGAAATATGCAACTCGGTAAAACAATTTGTTTTATGTCTCTTATTTTGTTGTAATTTTTGTTCCATGAAAAATTCTTCACTTCCTCGTCGACTACACTCGATTTACTAAATAGTTTCGTACAAGTATCTTGTAATGTTTTCGTTATTATCTTTTCATAATTTTCTAAATTTAAAAACTTGTTCTCAATCTGCTGAGATATCTAAGAAATTCTTAAACATTGAGTTTGGCATTGAGAGGCTTATCGAAAAGATTTATTGTCGCCGCTTATCAACCGCATGATTTTTCTAATCTTTTTTCGGAATTATAATCAACTCTGATGACATTGCACGCGATAGTCGCAATTATATTATAATTTTACATGGATTACATATACACACACACAAATATATGACGGAAATACTTTAATTAAGACAAAATTAATGTCTTATTTAGAAAGAATGTGATGTAATCAGAATGATGTGATGTGCGTGCGAGCGCGTTTGTGCGTGAGTGTGAGCGTAAAATCAAAATTAATCAAATCTTATATTTTGCAAAAAGTCTCAGCAAAGTAATTGAATATGTCGGGGAGGGATAAAATACATACCTGAACAAAGGATTAGCATTATATCGATGTAGATACCTAACGGAAGGATTGTGACCTTCGTTCTGTGTGAATACATTTTAATTATTATACATTTAATCTGACACTGACGATATAAATTTCGTACATAATATACGCTGACTGAAAATTATCTTTACAAATACTATTTACAAGGACTTAATACATGCACCAATTGAAATTAATGTTAAATGAGAATTTTTTATCAAGCTCTGGATCAGAATGAGCGTTTAAGCACAAAAACGGAAAATTGCGTAAAATCGAGATACGACCTTGCGAAGGAGATCAGTCGATAGTATAAATTACTCATCTTTCGTTACGTACGTACGTACGCGTGTTTTAAGGTCATAACTCAACTTATTGGACTATTAGCCTCGTTAGCTCTTTTTTCTTCTCTCTGAGATCCACTTTTAGTATTAGTCTTATGTAGCTAATCAAGTTAAGTGCTTTAATATATGGGCCGACTTTCCTGGGAAATCAGGTTTTTTTTTGCCGCGCGAGAGATTTATCAAGAAGGCGTGGGCGTTGTTAATTTCCGTGGATGCTTTTATCGCCTCTTATCGAAACAAGCTTGTAAGCAGAATGAAATTTGTATCATCCAAACTAACAAGGGTTAGACAGATGCCCATTGGTCATTTACTAATAATAAGATTACTATTGGTCATCCGGTGTGTTAATCCTTACATATAAAATATGAAATTTTAATGGCGTTTTAGTAAAAATTGCACGTAGGCGCATAAAACACACATAAAAATCGCACAAGTGTTTGAGCTAAAGCCCTTCATAATCTTTCGTAAACCATGGCATTTTTCGAATCATCCAACGTAATAAAAATCAAAGAGAAGAAGGGGGATTGGTGTCCAATTGGTGAAAGAGACAAGGATTTGCCAAGATCTAGATAAATACAATGTAGAAATGTACACAATCACATAAGAATTGCATATTCAGTTGACGTAAGTTTGATATGTCGATTAAAAATGATGGATAAACGTGAAAAGAAAATAGTTGCAATATCAGCGTTCTAAATTGGTAGTATTGCTACGCAGAGGTTTAAGAGAAGAGAGGTGCAGGGGATGGAAGAGAGGAGGTGAAGAGGGTTGGGGGAGAGTCGTCCTTGAGCGAGCGGCAGCCCTTCATAAGGTATGGTAACGTCAGGTGGAGAGGTGTGGGAGGGGATGTTGCAGCACCCCAGTTCTTCAATACAACTATCCCGCCTTCTACTTGCCCCAGTAGTCGTCCATTGAACACAGTCGCGGTTGTACCAGCCTGTTCCGTCCGTATTCGAAAGAGGGATAGCAATTGTGTCACGCAATTTAAGATTGACGAAAAGATAACTGTGACTTTCACGGCAGATCTCATCGTAACTATTACACATTGTGAATTTGGTGAATCTGATATCGGAATTGAGCTGTAAATATCTTGTCGTTATTTTACCGCTTCTCCTCCAGTTTTCTTTCAATATTCTCGATAAGAGTCTCGAGACTAGTTGCTCGTCTTTGGTATTTACGAGTTCTTTACGAAAGATTGTTAAATATTCAGATATTTAAGATTATATTTTGAATAGATTGAAGATTGACAATTGTCAAGAGCGTGAAATAATGCGCGTTCGATCTTTCGTGCTTGTTTAGTGTCTCTTTGTTCATTCCAACGTCCGTAAGGACTTTATTCCTTTACGATAATTGTGGGGGGAAATGCTAAAGACGTTCAAATAGATTCGACTGGAAGACAGATGTTCAAGAAGACAAACTGTGCAATGCTAGGTTTTCGGATCGTGTGAGTTTGTGTACCGTATACATTCAACATATTGAATGTGGCAAAAGTGAAGCGAATCTTCAAAGGTTGTAGGAGGTCAATTGAGATTCACAATTGAGTCTGCAAGTTTATCTTCGTCCCGATCGGACGAAAATTCGGAGCCGGATTTTAGCGCTAGGCGAGAAATAGAGGACTCCTGCAGCGACTCAGAAGCCGAATATTACAATCAAGACTTGAGCTGCTGGACAGACAGTTTCGTCGTGTTAATGAGCGATTCCTTTGAAGTGATATCGCTGCCGGCCGACATGATACAGGTTTTCTCATTATTTATGCGACATTTATCGGATTTATATTTCGAAATATATATCCCGAAAGAAATCTCGGAGATTTGGATCTAAATGTAAATAATGTTCAAATATAATGTAAGATCAAACAAATATTTTACATTTATCTCATCAATTTCAATTCGACAAATCGACAAGACAAGATGAATACGAGAAGATGAATTTTCCTTAATTTTGTCTAATTTATTTCAATATCATATATCTTGAAGAAGGTAATAAAAATGATTGTGACATAAATAATAACGGGTATAATGTATTGATACTTTTGTCAAACTTTTTAGCTCCCCATGACCCTCCGAAACGTAAACAACTCAATATAGGATAGAGCAGGGCTACTTCACTCTTATTGTCGGTTAAAGAAATTATTATTTTGCGATCCCCCCCCTCCCCTAATATTATCACAACCTCTACGGGGATTGCGATTCCCAGTTTGAGAAATGCCAATTTAAAAGAAAGAATTTTTATGTATGGGTAACTTACGGAAAGAATAAAACGTGCAAATATAAATAAAGCAATAACATTAATAATTTTAAATCTTGTACGATAGCCGGCCAGCTACGGGAAGAAGAACAACACATGGTACACTAGCCCGGCAGGCGGTGGAGGTAGTAGGAGTGGTACCACCGGGGCCGGAAGTGGAGTTGGAGGGTGGCAAAGTAGACCGCCAGCGGTACCAAGTCTTAGCCGGAAAGCCTCCATCACTGAAGAAGCACCACCCCCCGGTGGTGGAAAGCCCTCTTCGGGTCGTGTCATTCGTATCGTTAACAACCATGACCATACTGTTCAGGTAGGAGAACCAAAAGTTAATCTCTCTCTCTCCCATTTAAATAATATATACATATAAATAAAGCAACATGTTCTTTATGTACGATAGAATATTATTTGTTTTAAATAATACTTTTTACTCTGTGCGCGCTCATGCGTGTGTACTTGAAATTCTCTTTTTTATTTCTTAATTCTCCTGTTACGTAACATAATTTTCCTAGTAATGGTTTGATTTTTATTTAACCCTTAATTGTTCTTCACCTATTTAAAACTAATTTCTTTAAAGTACATTTTTATAAGAAAAATTTTCAACACCTTTTATTGAGGAGGTATAGTGTCTTTATTGTTACGTTTGTCAACATATTCAAGCGTAAACACATCTAATCTAGCTCAAAATAATCTTATTTTTTCATTAGTGTCGAGTTCTATTGAATCTTCGGACATCGCAACCCTTCGAGGAAGTTTTAGAAGATCTTGGGCAAGTGTTGAAAATGAATGGAGCTAAGAGGATGTTTACTGTTTCAGGACAAGAGGTTAGTTGTCATTCAAATATATATGTATGTATTATACATATATAGAGTAGAATTAAAAACAACGCTTGGCAAAATTATTTTTTTACTAAATTTTAAATTCTTTATACCTTTTTACGCGTCATAGAAAAAAAGTTAAAATTACTCCAACATTTGATACACTATAGATTTTATTGCATCAAGTTAATTAGCAAATCTATTGAATTTATATTTATACATGCAATGTTAATGTCGTCTTACGGTTAATACATTTGGAAAAAATGTGAGAAAGAGAGAGTGCGTGATATGAAAGTATAAAAAAGAAAAGAGACTTATGTAAATCTGAGTATATCAGCATTGTACTTGTAAAATCGACTCGAGAGCGACGTTGATCCATAAATATGCATGCCGCGCCACGGGAAGAGGCAGGACGGAGGTAAAACTCGAAGCGTGACGATAACGGGGTCGGCCCTCATTCGAGATCTTACGAAATGAGGTTTTTGTTTATACATCTCATAAGTAACCTTCGAAAGAGAATTTTTGTTATTAAGTATATCTTGAAGAATCCTAATTCTATATACATACCCGTTTCCAATAGGGTTGTACGAAGGAAATATAAAGGGAGGAAGTTATACACCATTGCATTAAAGCGACATAATTCTTTAACAAAAATGCATTTCATTTTTGTAATTTTTTTGTATGGAGATAATAACAATTCTACCCGCAATTTGGATGCAAGATCTATTTAGTAATTTTCTTCTCTGTCTGTATGTCAGAATTTTCCTTTTGAAGCTTTCACACGCCCAATGTTCTCACGCTATAAAAGCTATCATACACGCTATTCTTATGTGTGTCGCGCGTACTTACTATACTATAGTAATATTCAAGTGTATCGTCCAAGAATGGAGTCGAAAAAGGAAAAGCGTAACATCAAACACCGTGACGCCAGCTTAAATTTTTGACATTGTAATAAATTACACGGTTATATATCTCACAGGAGGTGGTCGTAATGTAAGTGGGACGAACGTTCCCCCACGTGTGTATGTAAAAAGGTCAGAGATTCATCTTTTCAGGTCACGATCGTACATGAATTTCAAATGGGCCAATTTTCTTCACCGAATGGCACGTCATCGACCCCCTCCCCCCTTTCTCTCTCTCTATCTATCTATCTATCTTTGTTGTGAGATTATTTTGATAGAAGGAAAACTGGCAAAGAAAAAAAAACTGACATTTTTTGGTCTAATTGAACAACTATAATGTACCGTTTGTAATAATAATATTCAATTTATTCAAGAATTTATTCAATTATATTCATATATGTATAAATATTTCGCAAAATTAAAATTAATAGGATACATAATTGTTGCAATATCATTGAAAGACATAAATTTTATGAGAGGACAAATAGACCTAAGAGCATATAAAAACTTTGAGAATACGTTTTATTTCATGTGAAATAAATCTATTAGAGATAAGTATTGACAAATCATACTTGTGATTACAATAGAAATATGAAATAAATAAAAAAACTCTATCCATTATGTCGCTAGGTGAGAAGTTTTTCACAATTGAGAAACGAGTTTGCGGATGTGGACACATTTTATTTGGGTACCGGAGCAGCTCTCGTTATGACCGGTGGCGTGACAGCATCCCCGGTACGAAGGTCAAGGTCACGCGGACCATCCACTGTCGTGGAAGAAGTTAGTCGTCAAAGAAGGGCTCGTAGCAAGAGCAGACCACGAGCCTTGTATGCTCCTGACTCCGAAGTTGTTCGAGTAAACGGTAAAAATACGCGAGCCCTTCCACTTGATAAAGGACATACTCCTAGATTAAGAAGGCGTTATATATCGTTGGCAGATTATAGCGTCGTAGAAGTGCTACGCGAGGAGCCAGCCAGGGTGACAATCAGAGGACTTAGACGATCGTTCTATCCTCCCTCTCATCTGCCTCCAGTCGATAATTCGCCACCTGAGAAGAAATTGCAACTCGAATGGGTCTACGGTTATCGAGGGACCGATACTCGCAAAAATCTTTGGGTTTTACCTAGTGGCGAATTATTATATTACGTCGCCGCTGTGGCGATACTTTTCGACCGAGAAGAGAATGCGCAACGACATTATATCGGCCACACGGAGGACATTATGTGCATGGAGGTGAGTAATGTTCTTACTTGGAAAAAGCAAAGACAAAAGCAAAATGGGGATTGAAACGCAATACTTGTACTTCAGGTTCATCCCAGTAGGGAACTCGTCGCGTCCGGTCAAAAGGCAGGCAGACACAGGAAAGCGCAGCCGCATGTTCGTATATGGTCAACGGAGACTCTTCTCACCCTATATGTGTTTGGCATGACCGAATTTCAAATGGGCGTTTCGGCATTAGCATTTTCACAACTGGTAACTATATATAATTTAACATCATCAAATTGTGATTCAATGTTCACACTCAACGATTGACAATAAACAAATAATGTTATAATAGAACGGTGGTAGTTATGTACTTGCCGTGGATTCTGGGAGGGAAGCTATACTTTCGGTGTGGCAATGGCAGTGGGGTCACTTGTTAGGCAAAGTGGCGGTAAGTCCCTCTATTTCCTCTTTCTCGTATTGGCATTATAGCCCATAAAGGGGTGCTTGCTGGAAAATTATACTACATACAATGCGTTATTTAGACCATGCAAGAAGATCTCACGGGTGCAGCATTTCATCCACTGGATGATAATCTCTTGATAACACATGGGCGCGGTCATTTAACATTCTGGAATCGGCGAAAAGACGGTTTCTTCGAACGAACTGATATCATCAAGCCAGTAAGTATACTTGTACTCGCTGGTAGCTTCTGTTGCGATCGGTTAATGTCATTTTTACTTGAAAAATAATTCTCGATTTACACTTTTAGCCGTCGCGTACACATGTGACGAGCATCCAGTTCGAACAGGATGGTGACGTCGTCACGGCCGATAGCGATGGTTTCATCACGGTATACTCGGTGGATGCGGACGGAGCATATTTTGTACGAATGGAATTCGAAGCACACAACAAAGGCATTAGCTCCCTCGTAATGTTATCGGAAGGCACGCTCCTCTCCGGTGGCGAGAAGGATAGGAAGATAGCCGCTTGGGACTCATTACAAAATTACAAACGCATCACCGACACAAAGGTTCAACATTTTAAATAACTTTTTTGTTTGATATTAAAAGAGAGAAAGATAAAAAGTATTCCAATTCTAATTTCAATTAATTAATTGTTTTCGGCTTAAGCTCAAGCTAATTATGTCAATAATGTCGGTCGAAACCAAATCTGGTGTGAACGCTTGCCGAGCCTCACTCCAACTAATCTTACGTTATAGCTGCCAGAATCGGTAGGCGGAGTCCGCAGTATATATCCACAACGACCTGGACGGAATGACGGCAACATTTATGTAGGAACCACGCGAAACAACATCCTCGAAGGTTCTCTGCAAAGAAGGTTCAACCAAGTGGTATTCGGTCATGGCAGACAACTGTGGGGTCTGGCGGTTCATCCCGACGACGAAGTTTTTGCCACCGCGGGACACGACAAGAATATCGCTCTCTGGCGAAGACACAAACTATTGTGGACTACCCAGGCAAATACGCTATTACGCTAAAATTAACTTATCTATATAAATTTACACAAGAACCGCGCGTGATATTTCGCATTGCAAAAAGTAATCGCAGTTTTATCGTGATATACCAAAAGTAGTTGAGAATAAAATAAATAGTCAACTTTCTATTTATTTAGTGCAAAATTTTGTTCCTAGAGATAGAGAGAGAGAGAGAGAGACAGATCTTTAGGTGTCAATTATACAAGCATATATTTGATATTATGGATTTCAGGTGGGTTTCGAGTGTATATGCATAGCCTTCCATCCGTTTGGCGTAGCATTAGCGGCGGGATCTTCGGAGGGTCATCTTTTGGTACTCGCAGCTGACACTGGTGCAGCCGTAGCAACCCTGAGAGTATGCGGATCGCCGCTGTCTTGCATCGGATACAATCCTAGTATGACGCGAATTTACTTTGAAGCTTGTTGAATATTATACAAAGTAAAATTAGCAGAATTTTAATTTGCAAAAACAAAATATTAAATCCTTAATCTCTCGCATTGTCATTATCACTATCTTGTCATTATGCGATAACTCTTGCGTGGTAGATTTCAAATTTCTTCTTATTTTTAACCTACTGTCCAAATAATCGCTTTGACGTTTACATAAAATAACACTTGCGTGCTAGGCAAATTATGTGAAAATTTGACTTTTTTTTCTGCCCGTTCAGCTGGAGAGATCGTAGCCATGGGTTCCCAAAACGGCAGCGTGTATCTCTTTAGAGTATCCAGGGATGGGTTTTCATACAAGAAGAGCAACAAGATCCGCGGTACGCAACCACTGATGCAGCTCGACTGGAGTTCCGACAGTCGCTTTCTCCAAACTGTCACTCAAGATTATGATCTTCTATTCTGTAAGTTTCAACTTAATTTTGATTAATCTCGATCGATCATAACCGATTGAAAGATTTTTTTAGACTTTGTGAGTATTTAGAGAACTTGTCACAAGTATATCATACTATTATTTTCACAATATTAACGTATGTTAATTGAGGCAATCATAGATATATATGACAAAATAAGGCAATAAAAAAAATATATAAAGATAGACTCAGCGTGCCATACATTTCCTTACGGTAGAAAATTGGGTTTGACATCGGCGAGAGAGAGGCAAAAGAAAGGTGAACCTCTGTAAAAAGAGTCCATCTTATATGTTGTATTGTGCATGAAATGTGAATGAAAAAGATTACTAATGGTCGATTATAGTAAGGATGGCGTATATTCAAGTATGTACAAATTGAAATATATGCTTCTAGGGGACGTCAAGGTGTTGTCGTCAGAAAAGAGTCCATTGGTTATGAAAGATGTCAAGTGGTACACCCACAATTGTACCGTTGGTTACATGACTTCTGGTTAGTTGTTTATTATTCACTGATGAGAAAGAGAAATAATTGTGGCATTAACGATTGAAATTGTATAAGCGAGATTTGTACGATTGTATTCGCAGGGCAATGGAACAACCGCTATTATCCATTGACCACAGTTGTCACCACCTCGAGTAGATCAGCAGCACACGATATGCTGGTGAGCGGTGATGCTGAAGGGTACCTTCGACTCTTCAGGTACCCGTGTACCAGCGCCAAAGCTGAATATGTCGAGGAAAAGGTGTACAGCTCGTTACTGGCTTGTGCCAGGTTCCTCTACAACGACCAGAATGTCGTCACCGTCGGTGGCACCGACGCTGCCTTGATGCTCTGGGAATTGGTCGACGAATAAAAAGATAGAATTAAGTCTCGCTAGAATATCTTACTTATTGTATCCAGTAGGTGTTATCGTAGAACGATAAAAACAGGGCGCTGGCGCCTTTTAGATTTTGAACGATAAGTGGGGCTCTTTTGGCAATTTTGGTGTGAATTTCACATGAAAAATGCCCAAAAATCGAATAACATAAACAATGTAAATACGTGAAGGAAATTGTCTCGCAAATCCTTTTTCCAATTTTAATTCGAAAATCCAATCCTTGACGCCAGCTCAGGCATTTCATTATATGGATTTCACTACAACAATTAGAGTTCCATGATGATACGACTCGCACTTGTTTCGTTTTAGTGTAAATCCTATTTGTGTAAATTTATGAACGATGAAATTAATTTATTTGACTTTAACGATTCTTAAAATTTTCCTTAACTTTTCCGTTATTAGTCTTTCGAGTTTTTCCAGTTTGTTTTCTCGATACCACCGACAAGATTTTATACAATCTTTTCGTAAGATGTATTGAAAAAGCTACCGCTCGAAAACAAAGTCACACTTATGTGAATTGCTTTCAATCCCAAATTCATCCTCATATACATTGTATATGAAGCAAAAATTGATTGCGAGATGAGTCAACAAAAAAATAATCCGTAAGACGCAAGGTGTAAATGCAATGAGCTGTGACGAATTAATGTTTGTGTGTTATTTAGGACATTCGCTAATCATTCGAGTTTCACACGATGAAGTTAAATTTAAGCTATCGTTATAGCAAGTCAAATCCAAGAAGGGAGGATATATATATATATAGATAAATATTGAACAACGCAATGACGTACGATCGATCGATCGAATGAGCCGGATAGAAATTTCTCCCGTCTTCGAATGTCTTGCCTGTAAAAGTCAGTTGACGAAATAATGACGGAAGCATCGAAAATTAATCGAAAATTTAATTCAAGTTTGAACGATTATGTATAAGACAGGCATTATGAAATTGGTCACGCTGAAATTCAATCACTAGCATTGGCATAGCTCTTGGCTCTCAGTTCTATCCGCCGATATTCGTCAACATTCGATTGTTGTTGAATTAAATTTCCAATCGCGTGCGCGACACGCGACACTGCATGTGGACATGAATATGGATATAAAAAGTATGCGATAATATACTACATAGCTAAAGCCTCGGAGCCTGGCATTTATCCTCTCTCATTTCCTATCTCGTCTTTGTCTCGTCCCGCGAGACGATCAAAGTTCTACTTGCTTAGTAAAAGGAGAAACTTGGCTATAGAGTAACGAACAGGCATTTACCACTGCCAGAAGATTCAGATTCCTGGTATAGGTATTGGAAGTAAGAGAAAGTACAAGGAGAAGAAGCCCTTAATTTCGTTACTGGCTTAAAGTCTACTCTTTTCTAGCCGCATTCTGTATATTACAATATATATATATATATATATATATATATATATATATATATATATAATACTTTTTCTATGTTGAAAATGAAAAATGTTAAGAGAGCGCAAGTACGGCTAAGAGGGACAGGCCTTTTGTCAAAATGGAACGTCCGAGCTATCGCTAGATAGTGATTTAAAGTGTAAAGCTACGTTCGTCATGTTGAAACGGACGTAGCTGAATGAAATTCCGCGCACGGAGAGATCAACCAATTGCACTCGTATCACAATGCAGCGCGTGTTATTCTATTGAGAAGAAGAGATGTAGAATAAGAAAGGCAACGTTATGGTACGTATTTACATACATACATATATACTACGTGTGATTGATCGATTTCTCTGTACAGACACTCTGTGTGACGTACACACGTAAATGTGAACGTTATGGTCAATATATCGTCGTTCCAAGTCACTAATCAAGTCATAAGGTAGTTTAATTACAAGAGTGTATAACGTATGTAAAGGTTTCGTGAGGAGGTCTTTGTTGCAGGTCAACGCTCCTTACGAGCCAGTTATTCTTGTTGAGGTATTTTTCGAGACAAGATTTTTTTCGTATTAGTTACACGCAGTAGTTACATGCAGTACTAGTAAGAAGCGATTAGGATCAGGTCACTGCCAAGGCGTCGCGTCGTGAGTTCAAAAGGTTCTATAAATTACGTCATTATATCAGTACAGTTTCTACTACGAGTAAGATTTTTCGCATAAAAAGTTGTTTCATATAAAATCCATGTCACACATTTATCATGTATTATATCGCGTACGCGTATTCAAGATCAAGAGTAAAAGTCTACCTGGACAGATAGACAAATTAACAATAATTGTCACTGCGTCTGGAGAGGGTAGACCCGTCCTTCGTGTAATGCATAGTCGTACAGAAATTCATGTCTAATAGATATTAAGAACGCTTGATATTAGAGTAGCGTAATTTTTCTACACATATTTCTTATGTTATTGTACGAATTTTGTCAAACGAATTTGATTTGAGGACTTGGAATTCCGCATCGACAGATATGAGAAGATTAACTTTAAATTGACTTTGGAAACCTCCACCCTGTATGTACGATACATTGCATATAATATTGTGCAACCTCCTCATCATCATCATTAATACTCGTTTTTACGAATTGGAATTTTTTCGCTCGAGTGTATCAATGGGTTAGATATTGTTTTGTTATCTTGTATTTAATTTTTCACACACATACCCACTTTTCGTCAAAGTGTCGATACGAATGAGTGAACTTGGAGTTACAACGCGTGATAAATCTGGTCCCAAAATCTCAATTCGGAAGTAGAAAGTACCTGCAGTGAGAAATGATTCGTTGATGTCGCTGGGTATTAATGAAAATTTACTATTGATTGTAATATGACTTGGACCGAATTCCAATCAACTCAAATAACGTTCGTAACATTTTGTTAATAAGGATAAAATTAATTAAATTTTTTATCATTTAAAACACGGAAACAGATTTGTTTATACAAAACAAATTATTCAGTTAGAAATGCATTGGAATTTATGAGTTGAATTCGCCCCCTAAAAGTTCCAGATACAAAGCTATCAACGTGAAAAGAAAAGAAAGCAATTTCGTATCCTTGCGGAACTCATTCAAATGAAAATTTATAGTTTACGTCACGTAGGTACTTATGTGCTACGTACAGATTTTTCCAGTCTATTCAGTCTGTCAAGCTATTTCGGAAAGTATTTTAGAAAACAAATTGTTCCACACAATCGAGTATCGCATTCGCCGGTTCGCCAACGAGAGCATGTCCAGAACAAATAAACGTACAGCGGAGAACAAAAATGCTGTTGTAGCGAGATGAAAATGCACTTGCGCCAAGCTTCTCCTTCGTCCCTAGTGGCCGACTAATCGCTGAAAGATATTGAACAAAAAGCAAGGAAGCTTACAGAGCGAGGAGCTTAATGTGGACATAATTCAGTCTCGTTACATTCGAACCGTTGAATGTTTCTGCTCTCGATTGTATGTATGTACAAACAGTTCAGTGCTCGCACGAACGCATCCGTAAGAAAGTTAATTTAGATAAGAAACATTAGCCCTCTCTCTTTAGATCGTGCTGATGTTACACGAAACATTAGTATAAATGACTGTAGGAGAATATTGGAAAATATTTCTCTGAGTGTGAGATTCCTCCGGAAAAGATTTTCTAGGATCTCTCTTGTGACAAATATCGACATAGTATGATAAAAGTAGCAAGCACTCACTTTTTATCCTTTTTATGTTATATACATTTATGCGCGCAAGTGTGTGTATACTACACACACGCACGCACACAATGTAGACAAAATTTTGCGCGCATATTTTAATATATTGTACCTCAATGATTAATAATATAATATTATTAATAATAGTATTAATAATAATAACAATGATGACAACAGGAGAACAATAATAATGAAATAATGATCAATAAAATAATCAACTGTACACGACGGATACTTTACGGATAATTGTGTGCGTTGTACACACAAGACACGGTAAGAGAACTAAGAGAAGGGATTTTTATTATGTTTATTTCAACTGTTCTTTTTATTTATTATGGCCAAAAGGCCCACTCATAAATCGCCCCAATTACCAAGCTCTTCATCTCCTCTCTCCCTTTTTCTCTTTTTAAAGATTTCAACAGGGTTGGGAAGTAACTCGTTACTTGTAACTGACAACGAGTTACATTAATAGTTACTTTATACAGGGTATTCCGCAGTGCTTTCACGGGAAGGTAGAGGGGACTGAGCAAACAGAAAAGTTCTCTACCATATTTCGCAATTGGAGCAATAGTTATCGAGATATTTTTATCATCAATATCTCGATAACTATTTCTCTACCTTCCCGCGAACGGCGGTCAGAGCACTGCAAAACACCCTGTATTTTAATTTATATTTTAAACCTCCACAGATCGCATTAGGTCTTGCATTTGCACATAAACACCTTTATCGACGCTTTCCCTATCT